ATCTCTTGTCGAGAATCGGTTGAGATCTTTTGCTTTTCCTGTTGGATGGTGCTCACATGCTTGTGTTGTGTTACATATGCCATGATGAGCTTAATGGCTATGATGTTAGTTAGGACATGTTTGTCCTGTAAGTCAACGTTAAAGGATATCAAATCGGAAAAACTTACAGAGAATGAGCTTCACAGGAGTCATCTTCTGGCAAGTCTCACTTGTTGGACGAAAACTTGCTACAATGCATGTTTGACTGATGAAGCAGGCAATTTTTCTGGTGAGTTTTCTTGAACATCATTACATCTGTTGTATTTCTGTACTCATGAAACAGCTTCTCGACTTTCTTAAACTATGATTGAGAATATGTTTTCGGATATGCATATGAGGCTACTCTAGTACGTGGTTCGTAGACATCATACTGGTATATGCTCAACACTTCACTGCACAACTTATGGCATCCAGAGATTTGTTGACAAATCTTTCCTGCTGTCAACAAGTTTGGATATGTAATACTTTGCTCTTTCTTTAGACGAACTGATCTCTAACCTGTTCCTGCTTTTCTCTTTACAGAATTCAAACAGGAAATCGGCGAAAAGACAGCAAAAAAAAACAAATCAGCATTTTGCTTATGAGTAGGAGGAAGATGGCACAGAAAAATAGAGTATGCTTACAGTGTCAGCTTCCAACTTCATCTTCTTTTTGTATTCTCTTCCTTAGAATCACAGAGATCAAAGCAGGAGAAAATACTTATTCCTTTTATATCTTTGTGGAACGTTTAATTATAGTAAGGATTAGGTTTCGTTTGCGAGACGTATCCAATCTGGAAAGAACTTTGGAGGTTTGGTGGAGTTAGTCTTTTCCAAAATCTGTTCCTTGTCACTTTGATTTTTATAAATGAGAGTTTTGGGTTTGATTTCTTGTGTTAGTTTCTCTTTAAATTTAACAACATTGCATTAGGTTTACCATACCTGGTCAAGACCTTCGAAACCTTGGCCGTCTTCTTTATTGTACCAGCTCTTTGTTCCATTTAGTCTGCTTCATTGATAGACTTGATTTGACTTCTATTGTTGTGGGATATTAAAATGATAGGAGAAAGGGCAGAAAAATGCTGCATTTGGCAACGCAAGGAATTTTGGGGATTAGAGTCGTATCATAACATGAGGGTGTCACCTGATAAATCTTCAATTTCAGGTACGTTGATAACTCTTATTGAGTGAGAGCTACTAGTTCCTATGCCGTGATCAGTAAAACGAGTAGACGTCAGGTAAATCACAGATGATGTGTGTTTCCTCAAGACCTGACATATATAGTATTAGTAGATGAACCTCATTTGGGATGGTGTTACTGTCGTAGAAGCTTAGGCAACCCAGAAGTGGAACTTGTTTGACTATATCCATAATTAGCTGTTCTTGCTAATGGGTAGAAAATATCAGAGTATCATTATATCCTAAACCAAAACATATATGTTACATTTCTGCTAGATATTTTGATCATTGAGCTCTGGCAAACCTGCAGTAGCATTAAAATGATCAAATACGAAATCGATCCAGATCCCAAATTGTAGCGTCTTAAGGAATCCAAGATCCGAAATTGTGTTGAATCAGGGAACAACTCCAAAGAGAGAAGAATATTGAGATTGGTTGATGTTTCAATCTAGTAGCGTGCTTGTCTTTTTAGACTTGTATTAAGTCACAACATCATAACCACAAACATCTTCAACTACTATATTAAATTGCATAAACAAGCAAACTCCGGTAAGACGGAAAAACCCTCCATGGCACTCAAATTCCCAACCAAATTGAAAAAAAAAGAATGAAACCAAAGAGGTGTTCACAAGGAGAAAGAGGCTAGAAATAGCAAGAGGAGACCAGAACATGACATGTTTAAACAATGTCGTGTTCCTAACAAAATTGTCTCTGTAAACAGTAACTGAAATTATAACTATCTTGAAAATTGTCTCTTGCATCCATATAACCACAAACGTGGACTCATGTGTAACCACTAGTTTCTCGAGACTCTCAACCATCCACCGTCCCATGTCGTAATTATGCGAATGTGACCTTTTTATCAATCAATCCAACTACATTCATGGATTTGCTTTCTTTTTTCCAAGTTCTTGATATATAATCTAAACCATTTCATCTTCTTGAATCTATCTATCAACAACAATGGCAGAACAAGAAGTTGAAGAAACAAGAACAAAATCTCAGCCATTGATCCCAGGTTTACCAAATGATATCGCTGAGCTTTGTCTTCTTCGTCTTCCTTACCCATACCATGCTCTCTTTCGCTCTGTTTCATCTTCATGGAACAAAACCATCACAAACCCTAGATTCCTCTTCTCCAAGCAATCTCTTTCTATCTCTTCTCCTTACCTATTTGTCTTCGCTTTCAACAAATCAACGGCTAAGATTCAATGGCAATCCCTCGACCTCGCATCTGGCCGTTGGTTTGTCTTACCTCCCATGCCAAACTCTTTCACCAAAATCTCGTCTCCTCACGCGCTCTCATGCGCGTCGATTCCACGTCAGGGGAAGCTTTTTGTCCTCGGCGGCGGAGAATCCACCCGCTCCGCCGCCGTTTACACCGCTTTAACGAATCGTTGGTCGTGTATTTCTCCGATGATGAGTCCGAGAACTTACTTCAACGCCGGGAATGTTAACGGAAAAATCATGGCCGTTAGTGGAAGTGTGGGCGGAAACGGAGAAGCGACGACGGAAGTTGAATCGTACGATCCAAAGAATGACACGTGGACGGCTGTGAAGAAAGTTCCGATGGTGTTGGCGAAGTATGACTCAGCTGTGATCGGGAAAAAGATGTGTGTAACGGAAGGATGGGCGTGGCCGTTCATGTTTCCACCGATGGGACAAGTGTATGACTCAGATGAAGACACGTGGCGAGAGATGAGCAGTGGGATGAAAGAAGGGTGGACGGGTGTGAGCGTCGTGATACGCGACAGGCTGTTTGTGATATCGGAGCATGGTGATTTTCCGATGAAGGTGTATTGTTCAGATGATGACACGTGGAGGTACGTGAGTGGTGAGAAGCTACCGGGAGAGAAGATGCGGCGTCCTTTCGCCGTGACGGGAGCGGATGATCGTGTGTTTGTGGTGGCCGGTGGGCTTAATGTAGCGGAAGGGAGAGTGAGTGAGGGGCAAAATGGGGAATTTAGTGTTGAGTGGAGAATAGTTTCGTCTGCTAAAAGTTCTACTCAATTTTTACCTGCTAGTTGCCACGTCTTATACGTCTAATATGTATTTCTCTTTTTTTTTTTCACAAAATAGTGTGTTAATATTTTTGGTTTCAAAAATAAATTGTTGTTATTTCTTAATCTTATTGTTGAAACCTACAAAACATTAATCTAATAATACTATATGAAATTTAATCTATTTTATTGGTAACAAAATCATTGGTCGAAAAATTGACCAAAGTTAATATATAAGGTTTTCTAATATTTGTATATCTGGTGGTACGATTAAGCAAAAGCGTATAAAAAAGTTTATGCATAAAGTTTTTTATTTATTTATCAAATCTACTTTGAGGAAAAGGTATGGGTGTTTGCTTTAACTTATGGGTGTTTACTTTGAAAGTGATACAATAAAAATTTGTATTTGGGTCAAATAGTGTTTATATAAACAATTACACGATCAAAAATTTATTACAAATTAGTCTATACATGTTAATGTAATTGCAACTTTAATAATTTTATAATATAATTAATACTTTTCATTATGAAAAATATTTATATATTAAATTATTATTATACTTATTTTATATACTAATTGATTCTTAATATAAATGTTCTCTTTAACATTCAATAATTATATATATAATTTTAAATAAATAAGATTTTTTACTGGAATTTAAATACTATAAATATTTCATACATAATTAAAACTAGTAAATGTAATAATATGAGATAATTTTGTAGTCTTAAAGGACAAATAGTTAAAGAAAATAAAAAAATAAATCTTGTTGTACTACCATGTTTGATTTACCACCATGTTCTATGAGCAAAAAATTGTACAGCCAATAACCTCCATTTCTTATGAACAAAAAAGTTGTACTGCTACGTTACAAATGTAATGCCATATTTTGTACCATCTTCTTGTAATGCATAGGTGATTTGGTAGGGATGCCAAAATGGATAAACCAAGTCAAACCAATCCATAATCCAATGAGTTTAGACTTAAATGATTTATAAGTTGATCTAATTCATTTGTACAATTGTGTTGTTTTGTTGCTCCGCACTCTTGGTTTCTTTGATATTCTTTATTTTTAACAACATTTGGTTAGCCTAGATTACATCTCATATATATGTCATTTGCGTACTATATATACACATCTGCATTTGTGTAACCCTCTGAAAGGATATTTGAAATTGCTATTGGGACTTTTCCAATACGTTTTTCATTTCTACGTATGTAAAATTAATCTACTATAGAGTAATCGTTATTCATGAACCCTTATCCTACAAATATTTCTTTGGTTTCGCTATTTTTTTCTTCCAAAACAGCAATCTTTTTGTTTTGAATTTGTAAAATCTTTTCACTGGCTAAATGCCTAAAGCTAACCAACCAATTACTTTTCCTTTTTGTCGGCAACCAACCAGATAATTGGACTGTAGTTTTGATAATAATAATAAAAAAAGGGTAAAATATAGGTTTAAATAGTTGGCACAACATCACTCCTTGCGTATAACAAAATTTGAGAGGACCTAATCTTTTTCTTGACAACCTAACTTATCCTCTTATACAGTTCATAATTGTATATTAATATTGTTTAAAGTTAAAACTAAAGATTATCCACACCAAAAAAAGAAGAAGAATTGTCTTTTGGGATTAGGAAAAGTCTTCAGGCTGCTACTACTAATGAATAGATTAATAATAATTATTCCTAACAAATCAAATCAAATCTTCCACCACTTGTTATCACTGAAACTTCCTCTAACTCTTCCTTAGAAAAAAACAAATTCACAAGAGAAGAACAAATTTAAAACAAGTATTAAAAGAAACAATGTTACTTGATTGATCATTCATCTTCATCATCACCATCACCATCACCATCATCTTCCTCTTGCAAACTACTTAGACAGAAACAGCTTCGAGTCTGAGCCATCAAATCTCTTTTATTCTTCATCATCATCATAATCTTCCTATGGTCATCACCACCATCATCATCATCCTCATAGTCATCATTGCGATGATCCTCTTCATTAGGTTCTTGGAGTGCAAGTAAAGGCATTGAATTAGGGTTTTGCCACGAGTAGAAACTCGAAGCTGACATAGATCTTCCTCTTCTCCTTAGCTTATTAGCAATAACCAATCTCCTTCTCTTGTTAAATGGATTCTCAACTTTCTCCAAATCCTTTGCGGTACTCGCAGCTTCCATTAAATTCCCAAACGATTTCGATTTCCCGACATAATGGTTCGATAATCCTCTCCTGACAAATAACAAAACAAAACAAACAACAACATATCAGCATCGTCAGTATTCAGACCAAACATAACCAAGAACTAACTTGAGGGTTTCAAGATTTAACCAAATCACTAAGATTCAAAGTCTTAAATCAACTATAACAACAGATGAATCTTGCCAAGAAAAAGATCAATTTCTTCAACAGATCAAGAACATAGTGAAAAGACAATTATAGAAACTTTGTTGATTCATAAGAAACCAAACTTACTTAATCGGGAGAGAGTCTTCAAGAGAAGAACCAAACATATCAAGTGTTCCTCTCTGGCACGAAACGGCGTCGTCTTCTTCCTCCTCCTCGTTTTCACTGCTCTCTCCGATCGACGACGAACTATCCGACGATTCCTCCGGCGACTTACTATTATTATTACTCATCCTTAACCCGATCCCGATCTGCGATCCACCGCGTCCCGATTCATCCGCCAAGAACAAAGCCGTTTGAACAGCCTTATCCTGCGCCGAAACACCGCCGCGATCTCTAACGTACGCCGCCATGCCGATTCCATAAGACGATCCAACCATAACCTCCATAAAATCTTTCCGACTACGATCTCTTCTCTAGTCTTTGAATATAACCGACGGACTTAGATAATCATAAATTCGCCGGCGATGTGCGTAGGTTAAGAGCTTTAACCGGCGCACGTTAAGGAGTATACAAAGAGAGAAAAAAAGGAAAAATGCAAAACAACACTGATCGAGAAAAATGGAATAAATTCTCATTTATATTTATAACGACAATATCGTATATTTATACGATTACGTATTTAATACGAATATTTATACGTATTTATGAGTCGCGATACACACATGTTTCTAAATATAGAATAGTCCTAGGCACGCTAACGGCGACTTTGACGGCATTCACACGGTCTTGCTGACGTGGCGAATTTTAATTGGTTTAATTTTGGATGTTTCGGGTTAGTCTCCGTTTAATCCGATGCATGTCGTTGTACCGAAAGTTCGGTGGTCACTATCATTACCATATCTCGACCTTATCCATTTATTTGTTTCTTGATTTTGTTTCTTTAAATGTTTTGAGATTTGTGATAAAGGAAAAAAATATCTTGAATAGTTTTTTTTTTGGTAGGCCAAAATATCTTGAATAGTTAATCAATTTAATTGGATGGATAATATTTGGTTTGGAAAAAATTAAGATGCTGATTTTGTGTTAATAAGTCAAAAGATATACAAAAATATTCGTGTATTGATTACTTTATGTTTTATATGGAAACTATGATATTTAAAAAAAATATTTAGTACTATCTGAATGATTAGTTTAGTACTAGTGGACAAATTAAACCTTATCTCGTTTACTTTTAGTACAATTAAAACCAATATCGTTAATGATACAAAAAATCTATATTATAATGAAAATTTGCTAATGCTGGATTAGTGCGGAAGCAAGAACTTTGACTGGTTCAAAATGCGAATATTGGTTTATTTTATACTATTAATTAGCATTACTTTGCTGAGTCATATTAAATTAATTAGCAACCCAAAATCATCTATTTTTACAACATCTTATGAGCAGATGAGATCAAATTATTGTATGATCCAATCCTAAGATTTTAAATGTTGATTTTTATACAATTCAAAGCAATTAGGTTTTGTTTCATTCATGAGTTAATATAGATCATATAATATATGGAGGATATCATTAGACCAATTAGATAAATCTAACCTTATCTCTTTAAAGTGATAATCTTGTTTATGAAATGTGGCTAAGTTAAGTCTGTTAATTGTGCCTAAAGGGTATCTTCCTGTCTTGCTTTACCTCTGGCAATTTATTTAAAAAATTCAATGGTGGACTATGAAACATTTTTTAAGATATTTCATTAAATTAATTACCAAAATCTGTTTAGCTCTTAATGTTAATAATGTATTTCCTCTTGTTTATAATTACGTTGTTAGACTTTAGATCTTGACGATATTGAAAAAGAATTGGCAGTTTGACTTGTATAAATCGAATATGTGAACTAGCTGTTTTGTTGTTTGCTAGTGACTTGATGAATGATTACCGGATTTTTTGTAACTATATATGTTAGTTCTGTATATAACCAAAAAAAAATCAAAAGTTTCGTTGTTAAAACATTGGAATTGCACAAAAATGTAATAATGTGGATTGTGCATAATTGTGTTCTTAACTTCTTCACTTTTTTTTTTTAATACTTTTCGAAGAATGTAAATGAAAATTTAGAAGGAAATAAATTGTGTTTGGATAAAAAGTGCATAAATGTTTTTTTTTTTTTGGTTGAATTAATTCTTCTCAACAATCCGTCTTGAGTCTTCTTCTATCTATGCTATCTCAGGATAAAATGAACTATTCATTAAGTTTCTGGTCGGTGACAGCGAAGTAAGTAGTGGTGTGCTATCGATTGTATTTTGAGATACCTTTATCTACAAAATAATTGTGTTGTGGAGTTTGCTGTTAGGCAGAATAACAAGTTTACAAAGTACAACTAGAGAGTTATTTTCTCAAAAAAATTGGGGATTCCACCAAAATCGTTTGTCTGCATTTATATAATCAGATTGGTAGACACAAAATTACTTCCAACACTCATATAACCTAGCTATAACCTATTTAGCCAATAAGTTTTAAATTTTTGAGTCTATGTCTATAAGTTTTAACCCATCAGGGGATGTGCGTTTAGTCAAGTGGTTAAATCCATTTGACTCCGCCTTCTCCACCGGAGTTCGACTCCACTAAATCGCATTACCCCGCATAATAGGAATTGGCTATGGACAGAACCTGTTAGATGTAAAAAAAAAAAATTTCAACCCATCCAATAAATAGATAAGTTATATTCTCCCATAAGAAATCTCGAACCCAAATTCATTTGGGTTGGGTTGGGTTGGTCAACCCGTTCATTTAACACCTCTAAAAATAGTTAAACCCAACCAATTAATCTAATGGACAACATTTTGCATGTATTATTTATGGCCCCATAATATAGAAATACATCTGGAGGCCCAAGTCCAACCTTCTCCCACTTATACCCAGGCCGACATTTGGTGTCGGCAACGATAATATACTATTGAAGTTGAAGAAGACTCATGTGGGGTTCAGAGAGTGATGCCAAAAATACGAGAACTAGGCAGACCCGTGAGTGATATCAATTATTTTACTCTTCGACAATCAAACAAAAGGGAAACACGCTTACCACCAAATACCTCTTTACTCAAATCAAATGTGAAACCTGATCTCCATTTTTCAGCAACTTTCTGGAGCCAAGCTTTTTGTATCAGACGCATCCCAATATGATAAGTTTCACTTCCCAAGTATTTGGTCTTTTCTAGCATCTATATTGGATATATCTAAAGAAAACTATACACTAAAAATGGTTTAGCAAAAAAATATCACTTTGCTCTAAGTACTAACTTAGGTCCTCTTTTGAAACCAGACTTCACAACTAGAGTTTCGAGTCAAGTCAAGTTTGTTTGCTTATGTGATTTTGTTTTTTATCTTATCAAATTGTTAAACCGCTAAACATTTTCTTTTGACTATATTGTTTATTCAGTCGATAAATATCTTTATTTAGACTATAAAGCTCATGACTTTTGTAAACAAAAAAACAAACTCACACAATTAATCATGGAATCCAGCAAGGTCCAATAAAAGAAAAAGAAAAACACCATCAAATTCCTTATAAACTCATCACCAAACACATTTCAAATTAATCAAAACACTAGACACAATAAATTCCAAAATAATGACAACTTCTAAAACCATAACCTTCACTCTCTTCATAGCAACACTACTCTCCTCCTGCAACGCAGCCCCAAACGCTACAGCGCAACCGCTATTCCCAGCGATTCTTATCTTTGGCGACTCAACAGTCGACACAGGCAACAACAACTACCACTCACAAACAATCTTCAAAGCTAAACATCTTCCTTACGGAATTGATCTCCCAAACCACAAAGCTAGTGGAAGATTCACAAATGGGAAAATCTTCTCCGACATAATCGCAACAAAACTCAACATCAAACAGTTTGTTCCTCCCTTCTTACAACCAAATCTCTCTGACCAAGAAATTGTAACTGGAGTCTGTTTTGCATCAGCTGGTGCGGGTTACGATGACCGTACCAGTCTCTCCACTCAAGCGATTGGTGTCTCTGACCAACCAAAGATGTTCAAGAGTTATATTGCCCGTCTTAAAAGTATCGTAGGAGACAAGAAAGCTATGGAGATCATAAACAACGCTTTGGTGGTTATAAGTGCAGGACCTAACGACTTCATCTTGAATTATTATGATTTTCCTTCAAGGCGTCTTGAGTTTCCTCACATATCTGGTTACCAAGACTTTGTGCTTAAAAGGCTTGAAAATTTCGTGCGGGTAATGTCTCAAATATTTGCTCAAATTACATTTAGTGATTGGTAAATTATTGTTTTTGGAAGGAGTAGCAACAAATTTGCAATGAAATTCTGAAAAAGTAGTTTTTAATACCTTTGTTAAAATAATTTTTAATGCATTATTCGACACAAATTAGCAATGAAGTTTTTTAGGGCTTAGTGTATAGGGTTTAGGGTTCTTAACCGTTTTTGCTAATCTTTCTAGTGTGTGTGCAGGAGCTTTACAGTTTAGGTTGCCGGAAAATTATGGTAGGAGGTTTACCGCCGATGGGTTGTTTACCGATTCAAATGACTGCTAAATTCCGCAACGCTCTAAGGTTCTGCTTGGAACAAGAGAACCGAGATTCTGTATTGTACAATCAGAAACTTCAGAAGCTATTACCTCAAATCGAAGCATCTCTTACAGGAAGCAAGATCCTTTACTCCAATGTCTATGACCCGATGATGGACATGATGCAAAACCCTAGAAAATACGGTATAGATACAATCTTTTTCTTGTTTGGCAAGTCACCCTATGCGATAATATTGGCCAATGATTATATATGTTCATTCATGTGGAAACAAAAACAGGGTTTAAAGAGACGAAAAGAGGATGTTGTGGAACAGGGCATTTGGAGACGAGCTTCATGTGTAATGCTTTTTCTCCAACGTGTAGGAATCACTCCGAGTTTTTGTTCTTTGATTCGATTCATCCATCGGAAGCTACCTATAACTATATGGGCAATTTTCTAGAGACTCAGATCCATATGTGGCTTGAGGCCTAAGTTATATTATATTGGCAATTTCTGGATACTCAAGTACTACTAAATCAGTTCACTTTCACTTGTTGACAAAACGGAAGAAAATATCAGTTAATTAAGTTAAAATAAAATAAATAAATAAAAAGCCTCTCGCAAAAAAAACAAAAGTAATATATTTGTGCTCAGATAATTTATTATGTCGTCCATAATTATACACATATATATACACACAGAATCCAATTCCATGTCTAATTGGGTTTTCGAAAATTTGTCTTCTTGTTTTTTTTTTTTTTGGTTAAACTTTAAATGTTGTCCTCTAGTTCTATAAAACGTGAGAATTTCAGTTTCCTAGCAGAAATATGTAAATACTAATAGACTTCTCAAATAATCATATGTAATATGTATAATGAAAAAAATTTCTCTAGTTTTAAGGTGTTCACATAATCAAAAAAAAAAATTGCATTAAAAATAAAATAAAATTTCTCAATTAACTCCTTTAGATTTATATTTATTATCTTGAATTTAAAAAAAGAGAAATTGTTAAAAATGCCCCTTTTTCAATACCCCTTTTCAAAAATGCACCCTTTGAGAGTCCATTTTTAAGTTTGCCCTCTTTTAATTTTTAATGACCATTTTACCCTTATTTGAAACAAAATTAGGTCCACAAAATACAAAATATTTTTTGGCGGGAAAAGTGATCCCGCAATTTTCCCGCCAAAACACTTGTAAAAACCTTTAAAAAACCTTGTAAAATTTTCCCGTAAAAATTTTTCCCGCCAAAAAATTTTTTTTGCGGGAAAAGTGATTCCGCAATTTTTTTTGCGAAATTTTTTTGGCGGGAAAAATTTACAAGGTATTTTAAAGGTTTTACAGTGTATTTACAAGTGTTTTGTAAGGTTTTACAATGTATTTTAAAAGGTTTTACAAGGTACTTATAAGGTTTTATAAGGTATTTATAACTTGTAAAACCTTATAAAAAACTTGTAAAACCTTATAACTTGTAAAAACCTTATAAAATAGCTTGTAAAATCTTATAATATCTTATAAATACCTTGTAAATACGTTGTAAAACCTTTTAAAATACATTGTAAAACTTTATAAATACCTTGTAAAAAACCTTTAAAATACCTTGTAAATTTTTTGCGGGAAAAATTTTCCCGCCAAAAATTTAACGCCAAAAAAATTGCGGAATCACTTTTCCCGCAAAAAAAAATTTTTGGCGGGAAAATTTTTTGGCGGGAAAAAATTTTACGGGAAAATTTTACAAGGTATTTTAAAGTTTTTACAAGTGTTTTGGCGGGAAAAATTGCGGGATCACTTTTCCCGCCAAAAAATATTTTGTATTTTGTGGATCTAATTTTGTTATATTTCCTTATATATTTGTGATATCTTTTATTAAAAGAATGGTAATTTAGTCATTTTGTACATAAAAAGGGGTATTTTTAAAAATGGACAGCCAAAGGGGGCATTTTTGAAAAGGGGTATTAAAAAAGGGGCATTTTTGTGAGTCTCCCTTAAAAAAAACAATATATATATATATATATATATATATACTAGATCATAACCCGTGCTGGAACAGCACGGATGAAATTTTAATTTTTAAATATTTATATAAAGTTGGATTATTGTTTGTTTTATAGTACAATTTTAATAATTCTTACATAATACAAAGACATATAAGGATTTTTTTTATTATTTTATTTTGTTTAATGAGAAAATATTAGGGGTGGAGTACGGTTTTTCGGTTTAGTATCGTTTTTTTCGTTTTGTAGAAAGTGAAACCATATAGAAACCGTATGTAATTCGGTTTAGTTACAGTTCGATTTTTACGGTTTTTTACGTTTTTCTGGTTAAAAATAAAACGTATGTATTTGATATATGCTAGTAGTAAGTGAAAAAATTTGCGTATATAATAAACATATTTTGGTATATAATAAGATTAAATTCAACCCGTGCGTACCTATATTTTTATTTTAGAATCCCAACGAAAAAATTGTGTGCACATCCATCATTCATTATTTTCATATATACTTATAAAATCAAAATTTTAAATATTTAGAGATGTCAAACCTTATTTAACTCATCTCATCATATAATCTTAACATGGTTTCGGTTATAAAGATCATAACTCTTTTTATCATATAATACATTACATTTAACATGCTGCTTGCTATAAATATTTTAAATATTTATGCTTTGAAAAATGTAATTAGAGTTTTTATAACTTTTATTTTTTGATTTATTAAATATTTATGATATACTTTAAAATATTATATTAAACTATTTTTAAATTTTTCCAAATTAAAATATTTTTATTTTTTATTGAAAAATATAAAATTAAGAATTTTTTAAAAATAATTGTATGAACCTAAATATAAATATTCAAATAGTTATAAGGATCATAACTCATTCTATCATATAATACATTATATTTAAACCACCGTCTATTATAAAAAATATATTTGTTTTAAGAAAACCAAATTAGTGTATGTATAATTTTTTATTTTTTTATTTATTAAGTATTGATGATATTTGTTTTTAAATATCAAGTAAAATTATTTTTAAATATTCCAAATTAAAATATTTAAAATTATCGTAGTATATAAAATTATATATATTTTAAAGGGAGACTCACAAAAATGCCCCTTTTTCAATACCCCTTTTCAAAAATGCCCCCTTTGGCTGTCCATTTTTAAAAATACCCCTTTTTATGTACAAAATGACTAAATTACCCTTCTTTTAATATAAAATATCACAAATATATAAGGAAATATAACAAAATTAGGTCCACAAAATACAAAATATTTTTTGGCGGGAAAATTGATCCCGCAATTTTTCCCGCCAAAACACTTGTAAAAACCTTTAAAATACCTTGTAAAATTTTCCCGTAAAATTTTTTGGCGGGAAAAATTTTTACGGGAAATTTTTACAAGGTATTTTAAAGGTTTTTACAAGTGTTTTGGCGGGAAAATTGCGGGATCACTTTTCCCGCCAAAAAATATTTTGTATTTTGTGGACCTAATTTTGTTTCAAATAAGGGTAAAATGGTCATTAAAAATTAAAAGAGGGCAAACTTAAAAATGGACTCTCAAAGGGGGCATTTTTGAAAAGGGGTATTGAAAAAGGGGCATTTTTAACAATTTCTCTATTTTAAAAATATATGAAATTGAATATAATTACTCAAATTCTGACCCGTTATTCAGGCGAAATTTTTGTTGAATTTAATTTTGTTTTAAAGAAATATATTATTCAAGTCTAAATTTTTGACTCGTTAAATTTTTTTTTTCATAAATTGAATAATTTATATTCGTTTTTAAAAATTCAAATCATGGGATATGCGAAAAAAAATCTATTTTTTTTTATTATATGGATGATATGATGATTTATTTGTTTCACAATAATAGAATCATATAAAGATGAGAGGTGAAATATAATGATTAATAACAAATTAATAAGGTAAGTTAGATATCAAATCTTATATATTCATTTTGATTGGTCATTTAAAAATAATAATAATAATAATGTATTTTTCGTTTTTATAATTAAATTAAATTAATTAAATTTTATAAATTGACTTGTTTATCCTTAATGAGATGAATTAATTTACTCTTTGAAATTTTATCTCTAATGGCATTCTTAAGTAAATTCTTACAAAAAGAAATGTTAGTTAAGGGTATCTTATAAAGTGTACTCCCCAAATAATAGTATAGGATATTTAAGGCATGATTATAACGAAATAATAATAAGACAACATAGGAATATATAATAGAGATTGCTTAAAATAAAATATTGAAACTTTACCTATGTTTTATTTGTAATTCATTTTTTATTTTGCTTATATTTTATATACTTTTTGCTTAAAAAAATGTGAGCAAACTTTATATTTTGAAAAGAAAAAATATAATGTATTAACAGAATTTTAAAACAATATATTATGAATTTACAGTAAACAAATATTTAATTAGAGGCCAGTGTAGTCATTTTTCTCAATTTGAAAGCTGTGTTAAATTAAAGAAAAGGTAAGCTGTTCCCAAAAACAAAATCGAAAAATTTCGTTAAACAAATTTTCAATTGATATTCATTTTATATTTGGTATTAAATGTAAAATACAGTATTTTGTTTATACAAATAAATACACTAATTTGTTGTGGATATTGTGTAAATTGTTTTAGAATTGTTTCCAGTTTACATGTAAGGTGCAAAATAACGAAAATAGAAATAAACTACAAATAAGCAAAATGATATAGAAGTTGTCGTTGTGTGCAAAATGAGCAACAACACAAATGTGGCACATTCTGGATATGCTTTGGTTTCACTGTCCGTTTGTTACATAGTTTTTTTTTTTTTTTTGTGGCGTTCATGAATGTACGTGCTATGTTAGACCTACCCTAAGTCCAATGCATTTTCTCTCAAACGAAATAATAATAAAAATAAGATAACATAAGAGTATATAAAAATGCTTAGGGATTGAATGAAGAAAACTATAATTGAAAATTGAAAATTTACCTTTGTTTTACTTGTAAATTATTTTTGTTTTGCTCAGATTTATTTACTTTTTTCTTTAAAAATATATTAGGAAACTTTATATTTTGGTAATTACTATAACGTATTAACAGAATTATACAAAAATAACTTATCATTAATACATTATAAACATACTTACGTACACTATGATATGGTATTATATTTTTGACAAAACAAAATGTGATTTATCTTTATTAGGAATTAAACTTGGTATTGCTTTGCATTTTTTAGGTGGAACATGGCAAAAATTATTAGAAAATAAATTAGAGAAAATATTACATAAAAATAATCAAACAAAAGAACTTACCATCAATTATATAACAATAGTAAACAAGATTATAACACAAAAAAAAAACCGTTAAATAAGAACTAAATTTGCAATAGGCCGTATGTATGTATAATCAACAGAAGCTGATGTAAAAAAAACTTTTAACCAGATTCAAAGTATGTGTAAGGAAGGAACTTCAACCTACCAAGTAGTGGCGCATTAGCAACCCAATAACAAACTCAATAAAGTTATTGGTCTCTCTAATGAATGAAAAAAGTGAGACCAATAACTCTTTTAAGAAGTTATGTGATTAAGAAGACTCATCACACAATTCAAAAGTAATTTCTCTTTGTTTTCGGTAAAAAGAATCTCTCTGGGGTTTTTTTCTTCTCTTTGTTTTCTCTCAACATAATGAGCTCGACATTTGAAGGTGTTGAGAAAAGATTAGAGATCATCTTCCCAGCCTCTACATCCAACAAAAATCTACATCAAAAGCTCACGAAAAATGTGTTGGAACAGATTCTGAAACCCGTCGAGTGCACCATCGAAGGTCTGTTATCCGAGGATCACGTCGATGCCTAACTGCTATCGCGTCTAATCGTTTTGTCTTTTACGACTTTGTCATCGTGAAGACGTGTGGAAATACAAAGATTTTCAAGCTTTGTGAGAAGTTGTATAGCAAGTAATCATTTTCTTACAACAAAATACTATGTAGGTACTCATCTAAGTTTTAAGATCTAACGAATTTCACTAATATAATATTAGTTTACTGTAAAAAATATTTAACCAGAAGACAATGTAATCATTTTTCTCAATTTGAAAGTTGTATTTTTTTCTAATAATTTTATTAGATTGACTCAAACAAACCAATGTTGAAAAATATTGTTTATATAGGTGATAATATGCGGTTGACTACAAACAATTTGCGCCAATTTATCCGCGTTTACATTCACACTTCGAGGAACCAAAGATAAAGAAAAATAATCAAACTCATCATTGTTGCTCTGAATAAAATATTTTTTGCTTATATTTTACTTCATATCCAATTTTTCATAATATATTTATAGCAATATTCATACTCCTTTATTTCAATTTGCAGTACTTTTTTACGATCCAATAGGTCAAATGTACGGTATTCGACGAGAAGTGGATCAAATGTACACACATATTGAAAAGAATCATGGAATAGTCATCCTCGAGAATAAGTAATCTACTTTGTAGATCTAATAAATTGTGTAATGACGAACTAATGGTCAAATATATAAACGGTCAAAAAATTTAAAATCCACATTACTTAGATAAAAGAAATTATCTTTCTTATTTTCTTGTATGTATAATAGGGTTTTCTCCAAAACAACCTTCTAAGTCAATTTTGTTTGCAAGTTTACCCTCCAAGTTTGAATTATGCAAGTCAACCCCACAATCTTAAAAGTCACCCGCAATACATCCCTCCCGTGTAGCGATGACGTGGCACCCGATAACTCCGTTTGAAAATATAAGAGATTTTTGTATAAAAAAAAACTCTTGTAATTTTTCTTTGCAAAACAAACCTCCATGTCAAATAAATGCAGGTCAAACCACAATCTCAAAAGTCACCTACAATATAATCATTCCGTGAATCGATAACGTGACAATCGATAACTTACTTTATGTGATGTAGTATGTAAGAGTATCATGCATCTCGAGCCTCAAATTGGTTAATTCTTCCATCATAGCCTCATCCCACCATTTTCATATGTGATATGCCCCGATCTATCAAAATTCAACCAAAATTTAAAACTTTTTATGAATCACTTAAAATTCAACCAAGATTTCTGATCATGTAGAAAACAATTCAACAAACACTTACATCAAAATTTTGACATGTGTATAATAGACTTCCATAATCTTTTCGGACAACGACGAATCTGGGAAAGGTATTCTACACATGTCAACTTTTGATGTAAGTGATTGTTGAATTGTTTTTTACATAATCGGAAATCTTGGTTGAATCTTGGTTGAATTTTAGTTAAATTTTGAGTGATTCATATAAAATTTTGAATTTTGGTTGAATTTTGATATGGTGGGATGAGGCTATGATGGAGGAATTAACCAAGTTGAGGCTCGAGATGCATGATACTTGTACATTACATAAAATGAGTTATCTATTGCCACGTCATCGATACACGGAAGGGCTATATTGCAGGTGACTTTTGAGATTGTGGTTTGACCTGCATTTATTTGATATGGAAGTTTGTCTTGCAAAAAAAAATTACATAGAGGTTTTTTTTGCAAAAACCTCTTATGTTTTCAAACGGAGTTATCGGGTGACACGTCATCGCTACACGGAAGAGTTGTATTGTATGTGACTTTTGAAATTGTGGGATTGACTTACATAATTCAGATTTAAAGGGTAAATTTGCAAACGAAATTGACTTAAATTTAAAGAGTTGTTTTGCAGAAAAGATAATAAGGATTAAAAAAATATCAGAGTTTTTTTTCCAAATATATTAGTTTGTAAATGTATAAAGAGAATGAATGCTTACTAACGAGTCAGGTTTCTGGGGTTCGTCCTCATACATCAACCTCGAGACAACAACATCAAAACAGATTTGCTAACAAGTAAAGCTATAGAATGAAAACTATTTTTTCTCTCATCAACACCTGTTCCTTGTTGGTTTTTCGATACAAATCATGTAATTCTTAATCCATAAATGAATGCACGTTTGTGCCAAAAATAAAGTGATAGCTTACACAATGGCAAAATAATATCGAAATAGGTTGCCTACCAAAAAAAAAAAAAATCGAAATAGGTTAATCAAAGATTATACCCGTCTTAGAGAAATTAGTCGGACGATAAAAATTTGGATAATCTTAATTCAAAGCTTTAACTTATATAAAAAAAGAATAGCGAAATTATTCATCAAATTATTTGTCTTCCAACATCATAATGATTTCGTTGACCCTTAAGTCCGCATTAATTCACTTCAATTCATTGTTCAACTTCCACATCTAATACTATCTCCCAACAACTCATTGAAATCGCTTTTTGACTTTCTATAAACTTACATAATAATAGTCAAACATTGCATTAACAACCCCATTCTAAAAGTCTAACCCTCCACTAAATCAACCATCACAAATCATAACTAGATCAAACAGAGTAATGGTAACTAATTACGAATCATTTCATTGAATTAGTAATTAATATACATATGCCTACACATTTATATGCCAATTACTTCGCTAAACATCATTTTTTTACATGACACCGCTAAATATATCACACAAGAAATTGTGAAAATGTAGTAAGAATTTTTTCTTTCAAATCTTTTTCTCGGTAGTAAGATTAAAATCCATTCAAAAGACTAATAAAAGAAATCTAAAACTAATTTTGTTTAGAAGAAAAAAGATATTACAAAATCAACCCCTCTATTTTGTCAAAATATTACAAAACCTACCAAACTAATTAATTCTTCAAGTAGAACCAAACACCAAACCACTAACGCTAGGAGTTATATTCTCCTGCATCGCGGACTGGTGGTGACGGTGCTCTCCTTCGTAAGTCACAATCAACATCATTGAATCATCCAAAGCACGTTCCACGTGTTTCCTCGCTGGACATCCTCTGAATGTACTACACTTGTAATAACCTCTGAAATCAACAAACAAATCACAACCGTTAGATCTCTAATGTTTCACACACTTAAGTCAAATAAATCAACGGTGTATAATAGCGATGGTGTACGATAGTTACCGTGGATGTGGTGAGCCTTTGATCGGTTTTTGACCGTACTTCCTCCATGAATATTCGTCTGGTGGTATATCGGCGATCTTTGCACTTATCGCCGGTACTCTCACGGTTCTCTTCATCCGATTTTTCCGGCTGTCAAATTAAAATAAAAAATAATTTCAATTAGTTAAATGGTTTAACGTGCGCTTACTTAGCTAACGTGAACGTGCATCAGGTTTAATGCAAAAGTCAACGGTCAGACAAAGACTTTTAAAAACTTAAACCTTACCTATATAAAACGACACCACCCACTAACTAGTCCTTGTCAGGCGTGCATTTTGGTTTAAGTTACTGTCGTTGACTTTCACTTAATACGTTGACCAATTGGTTAAGAGTTAAAACAGTACCAAACCGGTTTAAGAAGTGTTTATTAGCCCGAATTTTTATTTTATTTACTGAGACTAATTAATTTAACTACTGGACTTATTCATGATTGACAATTTTTAGGCAAAAATGAAGTTCGAAAATTAAATTTGTATCTATTTTTCACTGACTACGTTGACCGATGGGTTTAGACCGTACCGAACCGGTTAAGGAAGTATTAAACCAAATCAATTAACTTCTTACTAGGCAAGTCAAACAAATAATTAAATTTATTGTGGAGTCGTAACAATACCTTTTCTTGCAGTGGCACTTGCCGTTGCCGGAGCCAGAGATCTTGCCGGAAAAGTCCTCGGAGTGGTTATGTTCAAAGCATCTCTTTCTGTAAGGAAGACCAGAAAGTGGCGGTTTCCCGGAGGAATTCAATGGAACCGCCGGAGCCGGAGCAAGAAAGATAGAAGAACCTTTAGAGACGCTTCCGTCACCGGTGATCGCCGAAGACATAAAAGAAGAGTTAGAAGATACGCTAAAGCTTTCCTTAGCAAACTCAACCACCTCTGAGCTCTTGGTTTTAGCGCCAAACACGCTTGGTCTAGTGAAATCTAACGTCACGCTTTGTTGATTTGACTGAACGAAGCTGACCGGTGCAGGAGCAGAGATCTGAGTTGGAGCCGGAGGTGTAACTTTCACCGGTGGAGGAATGGAGGAGGAAGATGAAGGAGGAGGGGAATGAACCGGTCCACGTCTAAACCGGGCGTGACCGGTTCGGTTAAGAAGAGAGATGACTTTCTTGAACTTAGAAACTGTGAAATCAGTGATCTCAGAGCAATCAACGTTACGTTCTTCAGGACGGTTAGAGAGGACATGAATCAAGTGTTCCATGCTTTTTAAGCCTTGTGATGCAGCTTCTTGTATAGCCGTTTGATCTTCCATCTTCGGTAATCGCATAATATCAACGGTCATGATGAGAAAAGGTTGAAGATCTGAGAAAATGTGAAGTTTTTGTGATGAATGAGAGAGCGAAAGTGGAAGAAGAAAGAATGGCGTTGGCGTGATATATGGGGTAATGGGTGTGACTGGTTGACCGGTTGAGTAGGTTTTAGGTGGAGTTTAGTCAAATCGGTGTTTTTGATCTAACGGTTGAGATTAAGTTGAAGATTTCTATGGAATAAAGTAATCAAAGTTTGGTCTCCTTGAGTTTTGTGATGTGTAGGGTCTTCTTTTGTGTAAAGCAAGAATTTATAATCGTGTCTTTAAAATAAAGGAATCATTGTGGTGTAAACTTGAATTTGGAAAAAAAAACATACTAAAGGAATTTCAAAGAAACAAAAAAGTCAAATAAAAAACATTAAAGGGATGGTGATTAAAGAAAATCATAACTTTTTTTTTTTAAATCTCATACTATCTGTTTTTACTTTTATTAGCTATTTTATGTCTTCAAGTTCAAGTCAACAAATTTTAAAATTAAAGGTAATGAATTGTTTTTATTTGTATGGACAATGGGGCTGGATTTTAGCTGTGACAGAATAAACTTTCATATAGTTGTGGAATTTATTAGAAAATTTTGTGGTTTTGACTTTTGATTATAGATTTTATGTTTTTGTATTTTATTTGTGATTTTTTTTGTTCGTTTTGAATTTAGACAAGGTTTTAGGCGTTATTCATGTTTTTTTATGTATTGTATTATTTTTTAATTGTCAATTAACTCTACAACTTGTCAATATTATATGTGCACACATACAAAAACATGTTTGCAACATATATGTTGTTTAAATGTCTCTAGAATTATTAATATTTTTGCAGCATTGACAAAAATAAATTATATGAAAATATATTTAGGAAGAAACTTTAAAAATAATCTTGACTCCCATTTTACCTTTTGCACCAAATATATACTTTTTAAAAAATGGGATGCTAAAGTAAAAGCAATAATATAAAAATTAGAAAATTTACATAGCTTAATTAGAAAATTCTATACCATTATTTCTAACCCCATAGCCTTCTAGAAAACGTCTTGACTGGAAAACAAATAAATGAAAAACAAGCTTTTCTTGACTTTTAATTTACCTAATTAATCTACACAGATTGTGGAACAATTAACAATAATTAATATAGATTAAAGGTTATAATAACAGCGACAATCGTTGACTATATCTTATTAGTATAGTCTACAAGTCTTAAGTTGAGAACAGCGATAAAGAATAACGACAAAGTAGGAAAACAAAAGCTGACTAAAAATAAAATAAAAATAAAAAAGATAAAAACAAATCAAAATAAAAGTGATCACATGGACCCATTTCTTTTTTAAACACAGAACTATTGACTACCTCGGTAACCGGGTGATTCCGGTTAACTATTATCTGGACCGTTGATAACCCAAAAGTTAGATCTAACGGTGGATCTGTGAACTGTGGAGTTGACTCTTTGATATTATTCTCTTTAACTTTTTTTTTTTTAGAACGTAAAAAAACCTTCTACCACGGCAATTGATATTCCGACACGTGGCATTTTTGGCTGACTCATAAATTGTTCACCTGTCCAGAAGCTATTTTTTAAAAAATAGAAATAAAGTAAAAAATACCAGTACAGTTAGGGGTGGAGGAAATTAAATGAATAAAAAGATCAAATTTTTAGCTTTATTCCTACTTGAGGAGATATTTTGAAGTATATTTCTCTACATCTTTTTTTTTTTTAGTATATGGGGTTTAATTGGTAAATTTTCATCGCATTGATAAAATGGTATATATATTTATTTGTTACTAATCACCAAAGCAGAAAAATTAGTAAAAATTTATGATTACCATAAGTTATCTCTTATCATTTTTTTTTTATTATTCTAGTGTTTTTTAATTATTTTGTTACGTATATATTTCTATTAAATTTTTTTTATCATATTGTGACGTGCCATTAATCATATCTGCTAAATATATATAAATAACCTAATCCATGCCATTATAAAATTTCACAAAAAAATAAATCTACCCACACTAATATTTAAATTTTGGATGTAATAAATAATGTTATGTATTTTTAGTTAATAGAAAACGTATATTAAAATTGCCGTCAAAAAAAAAAAAACGTATATTAAAATTAAAAAGTTTTACCAACATATCAACCGAATAGAAAAGGCAAAAAAAAATTGAGTTTGGACAAAATTTTAAACGTAACTTACTTGATTCAAATTGAGTTTTGCTTACATTTTAAACTTCAGTTAAAACAACTCTTTGTTTCCGATCAGCATTTTCTATTAATTTTAGTTTAGTCAGAAAGTCATCGGAAAATAAATGGTTCAACTAATTTTTGACTGAATCTGTCATCATAATTTGCAGTATTTTCTTGTAGGATAATTACACTTATTAACATATTCTAAAGTTTTTACACTTGTAGAAGAAAATATCAACCAACTAATTAGAACCAGACTTACTAATTAGCTTAGTTCTTTTAAGCCAAGAGGCCCAGATGAAAGAAAGAAAAAAATACGACGTGTTTTCTATGTCAATGAATGATATATGACGTGTTATGTGTGCAAAAACAGACCTCAAGATGTGTATAATTGAAACATTTTAAACCATTTGTCAACGGAATGCATTATAAATTAGTGACATGGGAATCGTTGACCTAACCGACTAATATATGATTGTCGTGCACGTCTAAATTTTTAATAAGTATTTTTATTTTTTTCATTCCTGTTTTTATTTTATTTTTACTTACTTTGTTTTATCCCTTTTTGATAACGATTTTTAACGTCCCTTTCTAAATTTATAATTTATAATGTTTTTTTTTTGAAACAATACTATATTACTATATAAAAAATTTCTTTTCTATAGAATGGTCGCAAAGATAGAATTCCGGTTACGTTAATTTTTTTAATTTGTTGTTTACGTTACGTGTTCCAACCACTATTTATGTTTTCTTTATAATGGTACGGTCGATATTAAATATTTTAATTACTAGTTAGTGGATGATAGAAATAATGCAGATTTTTTTAAAATACAATATACAGAAGCCATGATGTATATTATTATTGCTATTCACTCGAGGAGAATTGGCTTTAATCATGCCAAAGATACGGAGAAAAGATTTGGGGCTTACTTAGCGAGTTAACGATTTAAATAGTTTGTAAAAGTCAATGTAACATCTACGAGATATTATCCTTTCACAGAAAAAAAAAAAAAGCATATACGAGAGATATGTAACAGTTTCCGTTAATGTTATTAACTTATCATCGTCTAAACTGAATCTGCATAATATAGTGACAAGGTAAACTTCATACGTCTAATATACTAACTGATTACGGCAAATTAAGAAAACATTCCAATTTCCAAAACAATATTAGTCAGAAATTCGTTGAAAACTGTATATTCCGACGAATTTCCGACAAAATCAACGGAATTCTTTGATTGGAAATTAACATTAGTTGGAAAATCGTCAAAAATTATTACTTCCTTCGTTTCGAATTATATGTCGATTAAGGTTTTTCACACAAATTAATAAAATCATTGAATTTTTTGTTTTCTCCTTTATTAATATATTTTATAATTTTTTTATTCGCCAAAACATTAAAACAATAAGGATAAAATTAGAATTTTCACCAAACATCTGCATTAAAACCCTAAAACGACAACTATTATAAAACAAAATTTAAGTTCTAAAATGACAACTAAACTGAAACGGAGGGAGTAGTGAAAATATCGTTGGAAACTTGTCGGAAATATTTGTCAGGATTATGCCGGCATTTTTGGAAATTTTTTAACATTAAAATAGAAAATAAAAATAAAGTATTAAAACTAAAATTTTTTAAATAATGATTCAATATCTACAAAACTAAATTAATTGTCATATAATTGTCATATAACCAAATGTTCATTATTTGCAAATGAGAATTAAAAATTTAATTAGTTATATATATATATATATTAATATGGATGAAGAACTTTAAATATATATATATATGAAAAGTATTAACTGAAAAAGAGAAGGGATAAGATGAACTTTTGAAAGTTGGAAATGATTTTGGAAACAGAGAGAATAAGATGTTATTAGAAATTGAGTTTGTTGTGTTTTGAATTGTGAACTGGGTGAATACTCATTTGGTATATATAGGAAACATTTCTGACAAAATTTTCGTCGGTAATTCACCGGAAATCGCAAAACGAGGTAAATTCAATTGATTAGAATTTACAAACATGGAAACAAAAAAAACAAAAACCAAGAAAATGCCGACAATCATAGATTTGACATCCCTAGTTAAATGCACCAAAATTTGAATTTGAACCATTACGAAGCGCTGCAACTTCTTTATTACCCCCTTCAAAACAAACTCTTGTGATTCCCTTGCTCCGAAAACTCTGCATAGCTAGCTAATATGAGAGCTTGAAACATTTTAGTCTACGCTAATTACACGCTAATTACATTTTCTATGTTCACCATTTGCATGATTGCATCAGTGTGTAATTGAATCGATATCTTAGCACGTGAAAGTAATAGGGTATTATTCTTTTAATGCTTGACTTTACGTGCAAAATGGACTTAAAATAATACCCGAAGCACTGGTCGTATCACGTAAGATGATTTGGTTGAGGATTTGATTCTTTTGGTTCGACCAATACATAAAACATCCACCATTTCTTATTTTTTTCTTTCTTATCTGCACACAATTTCATATTTCCTAAAATTTCACACCTAACTAATCTTATCGTGCCTTTACCAAAAGAATACTAATATTATTGTCAGTGCAAAATAAAATATAACATCTACTATTATTGTTTCATATGCCTTATGAGTCAACCCGTTCTACTTGTGAGTTGTTTGTTATATCCGAGGATCATAATTTGAAACTAAAATATTAAATTTTACTAATTACTATTGATTGGCAAGAATTATAGAAATTGTCTAAGACCTAATTTGGCTTGTAGTTTTAAACTTAAACCAAGTAGATATATAACCTTTGCGAGACCAATATATTCTTCCACCTTTATCCGTCCCTGTCCATATATTTGCTTCTTTCTAAGCAAGAACTCGAAAATTTTTCTTTGCCCCAAATAATTTTTCACTCTGCTCTTTCTCCATTTTGCCAATCCAAAGCTTGTAGCACTATGTGTATTATCGTTTTGAATTTTGAAACTTTTTTACTTCCACTACAGATTTTAACCATGTTAAACAAATTTTGTATTCGTCCGGTTTGTGCAGTATATCTTTAGTTTCTTTTGGTTATATATTGGTTTCAATTTGGAAATTGATTGAGATAGAATAATTGTTCGTCAAGTTACTATGCAAAATAGTGAAGTTTGTTTTAGTCGCAGATGTTAGAGAAGAAGGATAAGAACCTAGTAAGGTTTTGTTCTATATCTCTATTAGGAGGACCATTCTCCGAATGAAGTCATTTAATTCATTCCACAAAGACTAGAGACCCAGACTCCGAACTTAGCGGTAAATAAAAACAACTTACCAATAATAGTTGAAGCTCAAATACAGGGGGGAATAATAATTTCAAAATCATCTATGAATAGGTTAAGTTATTTTATTTTGAAGTAAACTTGGTTAAAATTGTGGTTGCGTTCTTGAAACCATTTGAAGTATGATAGAGAAGATTATCATAAGCACTTACTTCTAACTCCTACTTATATATGCCTTCCATTTGTTTTGATATCTATAAGTTATATATAGCATATTTGTGAACTTTTGAAGATATATTAATTTTCTTGTGTTTTCGTTGCAGTTCTTATAAAGTTTTTTTGCCAATGATTTCGAACAAGGCGATTAAAGAAGCAGAAGATTGAGAGGATGGAGAAACTGAAATTTCAATCGAATAGTTGGTTCAACGTAACCGTAATCTCCCTAAATCTAAAATTTGAACATCACTATAATGTTCAAACCACACAAAAATTTTCATGATTGGTGGTTTATGGTTAGTCCCTCTATTCCACCATTCCGTTGGGCTCATTTAATTTAGAATTATTTCTAGTCTAATCAAAGACCTTATTTGTTTCTTTCAGGCTTTCTTGTGACCCAACGATACTCATATGTTATTGCAATGATCATAGCCCAAAACTGAAGTGTCTCGTTATACTATCTCAAAGTGATGGTTCGATTTGCCAAAAAAAAAGAAACCAACCGGACACATTATGATTTTTAGAAAAGACTTTAATTAAAAGTTTAAAAACATATAATTTTTTTTTTAATTATTCAACAGTTGACATTTTGTAACCAAATTTAATGTTTCAACGGGCAATCAAGTATCACTTGGTCAGGATACTCCTTTACATTCCCTTTAGGATTCTCTTCAAACCGTCGAAGACTAAACTGTTTCATCTCCACTCCTCCTCTGGCCTCTCCTTCCGTCGCCATATCCGCCAATATCCTCCCCACCGCCGGCGCCATCTTAAACCCATGACCGGAAAACCCTCCACCCACAACAACATCTTTCCCTAACTCCCCTCCTAGAAAATCAATCACGAAATCCTCGTCCGGGGTCATAGAATACATACAAAGCTGAGTCGCCACCGGTCCTTCCGAATCAACCATCCCTCCAAATCTCTCCTTTATCCACTCTTTAAGCTCTTCTAGCTTCACTCCTGGCCCCCATGGCCTCTTATCCGGATCGCACCAATAACCACCGTGAACCGCCACTTTGATCAGTCCAGGATACTCCAACGACGGAGTTCCGTACACGTACGGAGCTCCATATGACGCAAAAGTTGGAAACTCTCCTTCGATCGTGAATTTCTCCTCGTGGCCTTCTTTGATTCTCCAATAACAAACCGTCGTCTCAAGCGGCTCCACAGGAAAATCAATCCCGGCCACCGTTTTCACCAGCTTACTTATCCATGCACCCGCGGTTACAATGCATTTTTTACCGTAGAACTTATCTCCTTTCACCGTGGACACTATTACCCCTTCCCCGTTTTCACCGTCTCTCTTTATGTTTGCAACTTTGGTGTTGTCTCTTAAGACAGCGCCATGTCCAAACGCTAGCGTTTGAAACATGGAGACGGCCTTGGTGGGTTTAATAACCCCACCAAGTTCCGTCGAGACTCCGATCCAATTCTCCGGGATACTAATCCTCCCGGAGAAATGCTCGGAAACAGCATGAGAGTCCATAACCCGATGAGCTAGCGCGTGTTTTTGACATGTGGCGACAACAGAGAGGAGACTCTGCTGATCAGCTGGACCCATATCGAATTGTTGAGTTGGAAAATGAACTTTGTATCCGATCTCAGACTGAGCCTCAGCCCATAACCGAGTCGACTCGGAAACCATGGCATAGTAGTAATCCTCCGGGTAAGTGGCACGGATGGTGCGTGACTCACCGTGAGAAGAGCCACGGTGGTGGAGGAAATCGAATTGCTCTAAGAGGAGAGTCTTCTGGCCTCTTTTCGCCAGCTGGTACGCGGCGGAGCTTCCCATAACGCCTGCTCCGACGACAATCACGTCGAATCTGCCGTCGCCGGAATATTCCATGAGGAAGTGAAAGAGAGGCTTGGTTGATGTTAGAGAAGCGTGTGGTTGTTGTTGCTGCTCTTTAAAAGCGACTATGAAATTATCGAAGCAGATAGTGTTTGACAAATGGACAAAACTCCATTTATATAATCACGAGATTCACGACACTGCCATTTTCTCGTGTCACTTTCTTACTGAACTCTTAAATATAATATTTAACTAAGTAACGTCGTTGTATACTAGGCAAATTTTAAAAAATATAATTTATAACATTTAAATAAATCATGTTGTTCTTTGCCAAAAAAAAATAAAATAAATAAATAAATCATGTTGTTATATAATAATAAAAAAATATATTCTTATATTTGTTATTATTATTATTATTAACTAATTAAATAAAGTTGTTATATACTAGAAAAAAATACGTCATTATAATTTTACTTTTTTGAAAGATAATGTATTATGTATAAGAAAACATTTTTAATATATCTTTCTAAATCATTAATAAGTAATGTGGTACATTAGATAAAACCTTTAGATTTATTTGCAAAACGGTGGTAAAATCAATAAGTGGATTGTGATTTCATGTGCATTTTAGTTGATGGCATGCTATATTATATGATATGATATTATGTTATTTGTAAGAAACATCGATTAACATCTAATTTATTTACAATTTTATCATATTTTGCAAATAAACCTCAAAATTTTGCCTATCTACCCAAATAAACCTAATTTTGGCTATCTAACGAATTTTTTGTTTTTTTGGTTCAAATGCTATCTACCAAATAAGCCTAAATAAATCCTATACTATTATTTGGGGAGTACACTTTATAAGATGCCCTTAACTAACCTTCCCTTTTGTAAGAATTTACTAAAGAATGCCATTACAAAAATCTTCTTTTAGAACAAATTTCATTCAATTTATTAAGGATAAACAAGTAAAATACTAATTTATGTCATTTAATTAATTTAATTAAATTATAAAACGAAAATCTGTTATTTGTTTTTTTTAAATGACCAATCAAAATGAACAAATAAGATTTGATATCTAACTTACCATATTAATTTGTTATTAATCATTAAACTTCACCTCTCATTTTAATATGATTATATTAATATGAAACAAATAAATCATCATATCATCTACATAATAAAAAAAAAGTAATTTTTTTTTCTGCATATGCCAAGATTTGAATTTTTAAAAACGCATATAAATTGTTCAATCTATAAAGGAAACAATCAAACGGGTCAAAAATTTAGACTTGAGTAATATATTTCTTTTACACAAAAATAAAGTCAACCAAAATTCCGACTGAGCAACGGGTCAGAATTTTGAATATTTATATTCGATTTCATATATTTATTTTTTGAAATGTATAATTTTATATACTACAATAAAAATTTAAATATTTTAATTTGCAACATTTAAAATAAGTTTTACTTGATATTTTTAGAGAATATCATCAATACTTAATAGTTCAAAAAGTTAAAAATTATAAATACTCTAATTTGATTATTTTAAAAAATATTTATAATAGGTAGCGGGTTAAATATAATATATTATATGATGAAATGAGTTTTGATCCTTATAACTATTTGAATAGTTATATTTAATTTCATATAATTTGTTTTTTGAAATTCATAATTTTATAAACTGCAAAAAAAATTTAAAGATTTTAATTTGGAATATTTAAAAATAGTGTAGAACATTTAAATATGGTTTGACACCTCTAAATATTTGAAAATTTGATTTCGCAAGCAATTTTAGAATTAACGAATAATAGATTGTGCACGCAATATTTTAAAATGAAATATTGAGATTCTAAAATAAAAATATAGACTTCACGCACGGGTTGATTTTGGTATTATTATATACTAAATATATGTTTATAACATATTCGATTATGCGAATAATTGGTAAATTCCGTAATTATAAATCTCAAACAAATTCTGTAATTAGATTAGCTCAAACAAATCTCTATTTCAACAACCAAAGAATTATAAATTGAAAAAGAATTTTCAATTTTAATAATAGCTAATTTTTTTAATTAATTCAAAATAATTTATGTTTTATATGCGATTCATTTATGATATTTAAATTTTTGATCTAACTAAAATATATGCAATCCTATTTTGTGGTTGTTAACGTAAATTAACTCATTGTTCAAAAAATATTACTTTTTAAAAAATAAAATTATTTTCCGTTTTCATATCTTAAATAAAAAATTATCCATAATTGAGTATTATAGAAAAAATTCAATATTTATTCTAATATTGTATATAGGGACTGACAAAAAAATTAATATTTTTTCACTTACTATTATAATATATTAAAACTTATAACTAATATATATATTATATAAATTTTGTAATAAATAAAATTTAACCCGTACTTTAGTACGGGTGATGATCTAGTATCCCTGTAGTACATTTGGGACTAGGTTGTAGATAATTTTATATGGTTTTCTATCTATGGAATATTCGATTTCGTACTTTAGTTTTAGTGGCCAACTTTGTACTAAATAAGGCAATATTACGTTCACAAACATAAACTATTTCGGAACGGCCTATACTGGGCATGGATGAAGTAACCACGGTCCATGAATTTCCTTCTTCCCTTTGCACGGAACAAAAACGTGTTATATACTTATATCATGTCAATCACATTATCTCTCAGTCCCCTAATGTGAAATACACTAATGATACCGTTAATCTCTATAATATTTTGGTAAGTATATTATATAGTCTCTCAAGCAAAATTTAGATGTGCTATGCTATCTCGCAAAACAAGTTGGTTCTAATGCTACATATTAATCTCCAAATATATTTTAGGGAATTGTGAAGTTGCATGTGAGTTTCAACAAAATGCACAAAGAATTTTTCGATCCAAAATCTACTCGTAAAACACAACTTATGTGTGATTCTGTTCTCAAGTGGAATGCAACATCTATTGTAATATAATAACACGATTCGTTTTATTATTTCTGACTAGAAAGAAGTGACGAAATGGATGTACATTCGACATTTCAATTTCACGATCTTTAACAAAAATTAAAAAAAAAAAAAATCGAGGGATGATAGCAATAATAAAAGAATGACATATCGATCGTGAAATTGTGATTGTGAAGTTCTTGACCAATTGTATTCTTAAGGAATAAGATGGAACGAATATAGAGTCACTTCGTTCTTTTCTTAGTGCTCACCATTCGTTTTTGTTGGAAAAGACAAAATCCCTTATCCACTGGTTATTAGTTTATCAACTAAAATCTTCCATTTCTATGAATGGATGCTCATAAAAGAATATTTAGCAATTTGTAGGAACCACTTGTACACTCCAAAATCGACATGTAGCTTATTGTTTTAGAATCACACTTTTTTTGTCCATATTTTAGGATTTAATTAGAATAACATCGGAACTAATTTTTCTTACTTCTATAATTTATGTTGTGTCATTTGCAAGAGGGTCGGCCATTACAATATAATTGGTATAAGATGTCTATAACAAAGATAGAAGCTAAGTAGTGATTCATGTCTTAACCTATCGAAAAAAGAAGATAATAAAAATAGATAGAAAATCTAAAAAATATCGATCTTAATAATTTATAAATTTCTTTGCCCAAATTTTTTTTTTTTATTATAAATTTTTGTTTTTCTCAAAAGAAGTCCTAATTGAGTGCCGTTTTAAAAATCTTTAGTTGAGCTTGTCTCCATCTGAATAGAAATTTAATGCGAAAAGGAATAATTGTTGTCGTCATACTTCCAACTTCAAGTGGATTCTCGACGACATTTCAATAATAAACAAAAACTAATCTAATCCTTTCACTGAATAGAGTCTTGGTTCAAGAAAGGTGGGCACTAAAAGTAGTAAATTAAATAAACAACTACAAAAATGATATCATTGCTTTTGGGAATGATTGGATATTATTGGCTAATCCCAGCTAATATCTGGATTACATTGTCACGTCAAGTTTTTGTTTTTAACTTCAATTCTAAATTTATTAAATAATTACATTGTCACGTCAAATATTTCAAAGTTTATTAAAAAATCATAATAAAGTATGACAGGTTTTATATAATTGTTTTTAATTTGGAAATCAATTTTATTTTTCTTTTCTTTTCTTATAACTCTATTTCCTTATAAATATATTTTTTTGCAGTATTCTACATGTGGTTTTCGAAACCGTCAAAGATCGACCATATATCACTGAAGAGTAAAAGAAGCTCAACCTAGAAAGAAGCAATCAAAATGATGAAAAAATCACTCAACGTTCAAATAAGAAATAGTTCGAAAATGAGTGAAAAATACAGAAAATTCCACAAAAAGATCAAATGAAAAGAAGATGAAGATTAACACACAATGGTAGATTTAGCTACAAAATTATAAAAGTTAAAAATGTTGTTGATTTTCGTACTAGGTTTAAGATTGCAGAGGAAGTTCTTGAAATCATCCACCACATGTGAAGGAAGGTTTGCTGACTACTTATAGGGGAGGGGTCTCAATTGTAAGAATGAATGGAATTTGGAAGCTAAGGAAGAATGAATGGGTGAAGAGAAGTTTTGACTTGCCTGTTTTTCAAGATTTTTTTTTTTTGGTAAACAAATTGTTTTTCAAGATTTGCATCTACATAGTGTCACGGATAATGATTTTATATTTACTCTCAAGAAAGTTGAATCTCTACCAGTTGTGGTTGTTTATTACAACAATTTGATCAAGACACAAACAGAGCCGTCCATGAGAATTTGAAGGCCACAAGCAACAAAAAATAATTTTAGGCCTATTATTTGTAAGAAAAGATTAAAAATGAGAAAAACAAAGATAACAGAGTTACTGGATTCGAACTTGTCACCTGCAAATGTTATGACACACTCCAAACCACTAGACTACTTAAACATTATTGTTAAAAATGGGGCCGATTATATATTTAGGGGATTTGGGGCCGCAAGCACATGCTTGCCTTGCTTGGCCTCATGGCCGGCTCTGGACACAAATAAAGATAGATATAACAAGAGGAGGCAATAGAGAGAAAATCTAGATTGGGTGCTCCTGCAATGTTTGTCCATCTCAATTGATCAATCTAGACTTTTCTCTTTATTTGATCAATCCTGTTTAATTAAGGAGCACCCAAAACTAATTAGTTAAGGACCAGCCCCGATCACATGTACACAGTTAAATGATTGTGCAAACAAGTGTATACTATATACAGAGCTGACCATTGACAAACAGATGAAACATCTGCTTGCGGCCTCCAAATTATATAGTTGATATTCAGCCATTTTTTCTGAAAGTTTCATTGGTTCTACTAGAAAAGAGGGAGAGTTGTAAATCCAAGGGTCAAGGGATCAAATCTCCATTTCAATTTTTTCTGTTTTTCAAGTCTTTTTCAAAAAAAATATTGTGTAATAGGCCCATAAAAAAAATGGGCTTGTGGCATTAATATCTTCAGAGTCGGCTCTGACTATACATGATAACTTGGCTAAACTGGTTAAAGTTTATATTATTGACTATAATACACTTGACTTCAACTTAATCTCATGCCCTTTCTCTATTCCTTTTTTTTTCCAATATGTGACCAATTTTTGATCATTCAAATTTATTATAACCTTGCTAAAAATATATAATAGGTTTGCCGCTAGGCGCCTATGTTTGTGAATGACTTGATTGTTTGGTTTGCACCCATGATTATTTGCATGGACATAACAAATTCTTTTGGTTTGGTGGTTGGGTGCATGGATCATGGATGGATGGATATGGTTATTTTTGGACATGGCATGGAACGAATATGATACGGTTATGGATAGATGAGTCATGAACGAGTACGCATGGTTAAGTGCATGAATGGAATAGACTAAGTTTTTATCGTTTATTGATTGATAAGGATGATATGTTTTAGTGTTATAAGTCCAGAAGACATATGTTAGTTAGCCATACACAAAATTCAGATCACTAAATCAGAGTGAGATCGATAACGAAGAAGCTAAGGAACATGACATATTGAAAAAGTTTACTGGGACTTTTTGTTACGTAACCACACGAGGCCCACTTTAGGCCCAATATAAGGATTGACTCTTAAGGACCTTAAAAGTTGACCCATACCAAAATTCCATCTTCAATCTCGAATCGATAACCCTAATTTGACGAAGCCGTTTCCGGTGCTTTTGGCTCCTCTCACTAGTCGTAGTTTCTTCAGGTAATTCCGATTCCTTGCGATATGATCTCTCTCCGATCTGTTGAATCTTCGTTTACATGTGTTGGATCGAGATATTATACCTTCTCGTAGTCTTGGCTTTTTGTTTTTTTGATGATTTTGTTAATAGAGAATTTGAGTTATGAGTTGTTGAATTTGATAGGTATGTCGCGTGTGTATGTTGGTAATTTGGATCCGCGAGTTACTGAGCGTGAACTCGAGGATGAGTTTCGTGTCTTCGGTGTGATCAGGAGGTAAAGAAATCGATTGCTTCAAAGGGTTTTAATTGATGTGAAGAGTGACTAATTTGAATTCTTTTTATGCAGTGTTTGGGTTGCTAGAAGACCACCAGGTTACGCTTTTCTTGATTTTGAAGATTCAAGAGATGCCCGAGACGCTATCCGTGAATTAGATGGTAATCGTTTGGTCTCCGGTTTTGTCTTTCTTATTACGGTGCAGCTGGTCTGATGTATGATCTTTACTGTTATTATTGTAGGCAAGAATGGATGGAGGGTAGAGCAGTCTCATAACCGTGGTGGTGGTGGAGGTCGTGGAGGAGGCGGTGGGGGTCGTGGAGGAGGTGATGGTGGTCGTGGTCGTGGTGGTTCTGATTTGAAGTGCTATGAGTGTGGTGAGTCTGGTCACTTTGCACGTGAATGCCGCTCTCGTGGTGGTTCGGGTAGGCGTCGTAGCCGCAGCCGTAGTCGTAGTCCTCCTAGATACAGGAAGAGCCCTACCTATGGAGGACGGAGGTTATTATCCCTCTTTTTTTTCTGATTGAAGATTTTTAGCTAAAATCAATTGTTCTAGCTCATTGATTAGCTAACTACCTTGTCTTTTGGTTTCATAGGAGTTACAGCCCTCGTGCTAGATCTCCTCCTCCTCCAAGGCGTCGTAGTCCTTCTCCTCGTGGTCGTAACTACAGTAGGTCACCACCACCTTATAGAGCACGTGACGAGGTGCCATATGCTAATGGGTAAACTCCCTTTACTCTAGAGTCTATTGTATCTCCATCAATATAAGACATTGAAACTGAACCGATGTCAAAGTAATTTGTTATTTGTTGTCACATGCATTTCAATCCTTTTTCTTAGATGTTGTGTTCAATACTAAGTCCATGTGGCTGATAAGTTTTTGTATTTGTTTATGCAGAAATGGTCTGAAAGATGTGCGCAGAAGCCGGAGCTGAGTGTTTCTTGCCTAGATAGCAAGTTATGGGATCAGGAGACTACTGTTTGCTTGTGACGTCAAGAGGACAGGGAAATTAGTATCTGTGAATTTCACTAAGAGAACATGTTTTAGCTGTGTGGTGGATTGGATATGCTTGCTACTTTTGAATTCCTGGGATGCTTCTTATTGCGTTTGGATTATGAAGCCGTAGTTGTATCTGCCGTTAGGTAAAGTACTTTTAAATATCTACCCAAGTTCTTAAAAGACAAACAAAAACTCTGCTAAAAACCTATGCATTTTTTTTTGTTTTTCCTTGTTTTTTGTTCTATCGTCTCGAGGTTTCTTCGGGTTTCTACTGCTTCATTGCTTATCTGCTTTTGGCTTCTTGGCTAATTTGGTCGGCCTTCTATGGGATCTTCATAGTAGTTTACCACTACTTCTGCTTCATTGCTTATCTACTTCTCGCTTCTTGGTTATTTTGATCCGCCTGCTTTGGGATCTTTTACCACTACTTCTGCTTCATTGCTTATCTGCTTCTGGCTTCTTGGTTATTTTGATCGGCCTGCTTTGGGATCTTCATAATAGTTCACCACTACTCTGCTTCTGCTTCTCATCTAGATGCTCTTATGTTTGAAAACTTCATCAGCTCTGATGTTGTTGTCTTCAAAACCTCTTTGGTCTTTCTTTTCTTGAACTTAGAATGGCCGAGGAGCTGCACTCGCTACTCTGGCAGGTACTTATTACCTTGCAGGTTTGGAAGAAACTTGTCTTACGGTGCAGCATGTGAATAATAGTATAGAGTATGTAGAATGTCTCTGTTTGGTTTGAGGTGGGCACTTATGTTCTCCTTTTAAGTCCAGGTCTGGCTATCTACTGTCTGCAGATAAACGCTCTATCCCCAATTGCTTTGGTTTCATCACGTTTGGTTCATGGATTAATCTTTAAACGAAAGATGGTTCTGCTCCTTGGTTTCAATTTCATCATGTTTGATTCAAAGATCATTCTGGCTTTGTCGAAGCCTCTTGATTGTCCCCTCTTTTGATGATTGTGTCCTAAACTTGTGAAAATCTTTTCACAACTTTCTTCTGTCCAGTTTTGATATTTGTGTCCTCTGTTGTCATATGTTTTACGTATCATCATAATCAACGAGCATGCTCACAATCGAAATCATTCATTCAACAAGATTTATGATCCTTTTTTACCGACCTCAATTAATAAAGTTGAGTTTAAAAAGTTTTGTGATAACGAATATGGTCAGCAAATAATCAACCACGAAAGAACAGGATTTTTGTGTTCGTACTTATTCAAGTGACTAGTTTTGAACCCACACAAGTGTGAGTTTGTTCTATGTGGTGAAAACCTGTACGAGGAATGGTATTAAACATGTAAAACATCATTGACAACATTTTTTTTTTTTTTGGAGTTTTACTGAATTAAACAACATAGGTGAGACCAGTTTAGACGAAACCCCTTGAGGAGGGATAGATCATACATCTGGTAATAAATATGCTTCATGAAAATCTTGTGCCGGTCCCTGTGAGGGGGAGAAGATCATCAAGAAGAATCACTTTAGGCACTGAAAACCCATAAGATAGGCTGCAAACACCACATAAAGGCTTGAGCACCAGAGGTCCAGAGGGTAGTCTCCGTTGCCAGGTGAAATAGGTGAAATAGCCTGATCCTTCGGAGACGGCTAAGTCTGAGTTGGTCCTTGCAAAGGAAGGCATTTCTCCTTCACTTTTTGTAATGGCAGGTATATCTTCTACACGGCTTTCTTTGATAAAATAAATCGGTAGTCCTCTTCCTACACGATTCATCTTCTTAAACCAATGACCAATAGTCTCAACTCCTAGATACGAAAAGAGTACCGTCAATGATCCACCAGCAACAGAGATAATAGCTGGAAATAACCATCGTGTTCCCGATAAATGCGGTATAGTCACCCAAGATGCTGCAACATAAGCCGTCGCCATAAACCCTACAGAAACCCACATCATCCTGTGTGTGGCCACCAATAATTTCTTCAAGGGTTTCCTCTTGTAAGGTATGATGCTAACGAGAAGAATAACAATGCACAAGGACGTGAACAATGCAATGTTGTTACATATTGCAAAGACTTTAAATGCTGCGGTATTGCCTACAAGTGATTTCCCTTTCCATGGCCCCTCTTGGTAGACGCCGCCCGGTGGGTTTATCCCACCGGCATAAGAAACTGAAGCAATCAGGACTGCCACTATCGCAATCGTATTTCTTGCATTTTGTAATGCTTCTATATGCATCTCATGTTCCAAGCTCTTATGACCTCTTTTAACATGATGTTTCTTGCTTTTCTTTCTCTCCGCTATCTCTGATGTGCTTATTTCGATTAGCTCAAGCAACCTTATTACCTCAGAATGCCCTATGTGTTCTTCATTTCTCTCAGCCTTTTTAGAATCCACTTCTGATGAAGTCTTGGTGTCACATCTCAGGTAGCTTGATATAAACTCATAGTCTTGGGCTTGTCGAGGGAGAAGGTGGTAAGCTCGATAACCCATATTGTTTCTTTCTCTGATATCTATTATCTTCTTACCAACAATGTAACGCATAAGCTGCAATTTATTCAGTAAAATATGTGAGAAGAAACACACACACACACGCAAAATCAATCGACAATAAATAGGTGAGCTAGTGATTCATGTCTCTTGTATATTAGATTATCTATCATGTTATATATAGTCAAATTTTGAAACTAAAACGTGTTTTGGGACAAAGAAAACTACTCACCGGAGCACCACAAGCCACAGAAGCAGCAATATGTAAGACAGTGTTCCCCTTTCGATCTTTTTTCTTCAAAAGAATTGGGCTGCTAGTGCCCAAATTCTCCGCCATGAAAACAAAGGCATCGGTATTTTTGTTTCGTGCAGCGAGATGAAAGACTGCCTCTTCTGACGACGTTCTTACGCAGAAAGACAATGGAGCCTTGTCCATGAACTCCTCCAGGATTATAACTGAGCCTCTTTGGACTGCCAGATGCAGAGGTGTTAAACCTTTGATGTTAAGAGCTTCTTCTAGTCCTTGATTGAGTCCTAACAATATACTTGTCAGTTCAAGGTCACCTTTGTCACACGCATAATGCAGTAGCGTTGATCGCGAGCCGTCTTCAACCACCCAAGCATTTTTCCTAGCTAGCTCTGGGAATCTCTCCAGTATAATCCCAACAATACCTGATAGTGATGATGAGCCAGTGAGTTTATACAAGAATTACTAAAAATGATGAGTTTACACAGTATAAACTTACAAGAAGATCCACTTGATAAGGCGAAATTGAGTTCATCGAGGTCGACTGAATTCGTCTTTTCCACGATGAGTTTGGCAGCCTCCAGGAAAATGCTAAGGAAAGCTAAGTGGAGGGGTGTTTGGTTCTTGTTATTGCGTGCCGAACATAGTTCCAATCCAGTGTCTAACATCTGCATAACTATGTTTACATCTCCAAGAAGAGCAGCAACATGCAAAGGTGTGTCTCCATATGCGTTGCGGGAAGAGAGAAGAGAAGGTCGGAGCTCAATAATCTTGGAGACAAGTTCTCGGTGACCAAGCTTTGCAGCTATGTGCAAAACCGTGTTGTTTGTGTTCTGTTCCTCACTTCTCTCCTCCACGGAAGATTCACTACAAGATTAAAAAGTTCTCATGTTTTTTACCTCTGGCCAGACATTCTGACTTAGCTATCTTTTCGAGAACTAAAAACGTATTTCAAAGGATATACTTCTCCTAGTTTGGCAATCGACAATATATGAGCTATGGAGAGAAAGAAATAAGAGGATTCACTCCAATGTAGTACAAAATCCATGCCATTGATAGCACCATCAGGAACAGAGCTTCCTCATTCCGCTTTTAGAGATCCGACACTGGCTTCCTAACTACTTCAGCAATGGTTCATGTCTAGACAACCGCAAGGTGCTACATCAGTTGCAACGACTACTTCAACTACATCTTCACTCTATCTATCATTTTAAAAGACAACCCAACTACTCCCAAAGTTTCGTTGATGGGTTCAACTTGTACATTATTACCCGTTCACTGACCTTTAAATTATAAACTCAAGTTAGAAAAGTTTAGCGATAACGAATATGGTTAGCAAATAATCGTATTCAAGATAGTGAATCATTTTAGTTTCCACAGTCTCTTTGATCGGATATTTTCATATAGTTGTGTTCGTCCTTGTTCAAGTAATTCAGACTTGCTATTTGATAGTTCTCAAGAATAGCAAGCCTAAGACCATCACATAAAGAGTCTGAAATAACAGAGTGGCGTCACATTATAAGTTTTATATACTTTTAAATATTTTTTATTTATCAAAAAATAAATTAAAAAAAAGAGTAGAATTGAATGGTAGCATATTTGTCTTACAAAATACAAAGACTCGAAATGGCCCACTTGAAGAAATTGGGCGTGGGGATGGGTGGGATTCATCATAAATCGTGTAAGCATTTAATCACAAATCTACAAAGTACGATGAAATTAATTTGTTCAACCATAAAACAGCTGATTTTGGCAGTGAAACACTCGATTATAGGAGTACATGTTGGGTTTTTGTTGTGTGTGTGTGTGAAATTGTACACATTTTCCGCAAACTGATCCCACAAGACCACAAGAGACATGATTACACGAACATCTTCAAAATTAATAACACAAGAGTAACAATCCATCCAATATACTTCCTCAGTAATTTTATAGTTGATGTTTAGAACTTATTTAATTTATTTTTCTAAATAAAAAACATTTATAGTCAATTTAAACACGATTCAACCAGCAATAAAAGACTTTGCATTATACAATTAAAACTAATAATAAAAATTTTGCATTAAAAATTGAAAACATCAATTAATTTGAAACAAAAAAATGTCTCCTAAAATATCAACTACATAAAGATACAGACCATAAATAATATTACTCCGATTAATTTATTGAATATTAAACACTTTTCAACCGTCCAATTAGCGTCTAGCGAAATTTTAAACATTAGTGTTTTCTAAATTCTATTAGTAATTTTGTTTAGGGAAAATTAGCCTCAATACCACTTTTTTCAAAAAGTTTAGGCCCAGTACCACTTTCTGAGTCCACTTAACATCCATACCACATTCATCATGTGAAAAGACGATTCTACCCTCCAACTTACTGAGACAAGACCCTGCGGTTGATGGGACTCTCCGAATTTTCTGCCGTCCACAGTCTCTCTCCTAACGCATTGGTAACCGTTTTCGTCCCTCTGGTAAAACAAAGTTGTCCCCGAGTAAATCCAGATCTTCGTCTTCGGCTCTTTGGCGGAATAAAATAAAGATCAAGTTGTCTCCAAGTAAATTCAGATCTCTGGCTGGTAAAACCACATCATCTGGCGATGGACAATCAAGAGAAGTTGTCCCCGAGTAAATCAAGATCTCTGGCTGGTAAAACCACATCATCTGGCGATAGACAATCAAGAGATCTGGACTTATTCTTGGGGGACATCATTCACTCTATTTCATAATTATTGTCCATGGTAAATGTAAACTGCATTTAATGCAATGTTTTGTCCTTCTTCTCTGACACAAAGTTGTCTTTCAGACAAAGTTGTCCTTCTCTGACACAAAGTTGTCCCCGTTTCCCAACCGGCGTCTACTGTAGCTCCTTCCCCTGACACATACCTGACGCACAGAGAAGGGCAAAATCGTCCAAGAGTTGCCACACAAACACCAAATGTGGTATGGATGCTAAATCCATTTCAAATGTGGTACATTTGCTAGGATTTTCCCAAAATGTGGCACATTTGGCAAAATTCCCTTTTGTTTATCGTATATACCGTATAAGAGTTTTCTCTTTTAAAAACTTTGTGATAGCATTACATGTAGACATATTATATACTTCCACAAGTCATATAAAAAATGTAAAATACAGAATCTTGTACGCAACACACGGGAGATAGTATGAGACTCGAGAGAGAAAGAGTCATCATCATTCATCTCCTTCTAAACAAACATTTAATAAAATTTTGGCTTTAATGGAACCCACGTTCTCCTCTCTGTCTCTCTCTCTTTACAATTTCCAAGAAAACACTAAAATAAAAACCACAACAACAACAACAAAGTTTTGTAGTATTACTCTTTCACTCGTTTTTACCTCTCCTCTTTAGTCTTATTAGCATCATTACATTAGCTGTTTCTTACTTATTTTCTCTCTCTTCATCTTTTGTTGTTTCACGTAAAGTCAAACCCATCTCTCTCTCTCTCTGCCATTTTCTGAACATGAATATTGCCTGAACAAGAACAAGAAGAAGAATCTGTTCTTGTTCTTGCTACAAACAATGGAGTTCAAGAGAGACAATACTGTCAGGTTCTAGAATTTTTCTTCCTTTTTTAGAACATTCATTTTTGGGTTCTCTCAATGATGGAGAAAAAAAGTTGCCTTTTTGCATTAGCAATCCCAATAAAGTTCTGATCTTTTATTTTATATCACAATAAAGTTTTGATCTTTGTACTTTGCATTGGTACATTATTTTGAAATGATTTGTTCTTGATCTTATTTTTTGAACCCAAACTCTGTTTTTTTTTTTTTTGGTTAATGGGTGTGACAGATTCTATGGAGACGAGAAACAAACCATAGAAGTAGGAGAGAAGCGAGTACCATTGTTCAAATCAACAACGGCTCCATTTATGAAACAAGAAGTCCCAAAGAAGAGCAAAACACGTTTGAAAATCCCAAGATTTGGTAGATTCAAAGTGTTTCCAGAGAATTTCGAGATCGAAAGAGATAAGATTCTAGATCCTGGTGGTGATGCAGTGCTTCAATGGAACAGAGTTTTTCTCTTTTGGTGTCTCGTTGCACTTTACGTCGACCCTTTGTTCTTCTTTCTTTCTTCAGTCAAACGTATTGGACGATCTTCTTGTATGACTACAGATTTGAAGCTTGGAATTGTCATTACTTTCTTCAGAACTTTAGCAGATTTGTTCTATGTTTTGCACATTGTGATCAAATTCAGAACAGCTTATGTTTCTCGTACTTCTAGAGTGTTTGGTCGTGGAGAGCTTGTGAAAGATCCTAAGTTGATTGCTAGAAGATACTTAAGATCAGATTTCATCGTTGATCTCATCGCTTGTTTGCCTCTTCCTCAGGTATATTTATTCATAACCTGTGTGGCCAATTGGATTCTTGAACTTCGGCCCCAGTGCTTTATCCGTGGTGGACCCACGGATTAGTCTGGGACCTGGACACCGGGGCCACATGATTCATCTTTTCTTAACTTTGTTATTAGAGTTTGATTGTATCTCTATTGTTGCAGATTGTTAGTTGGTTTATCTTGCCATCAATCAGAAGCTCTCACTCAGATCATACTACAAATGCTCTTGTGCTCATTGTTCTTGTTCAATACATTCCTCGCCTATATCTGATTTTCCCTCTTAGCGCTGAGATTATTAAAGCAACCGGAGTTGTTACAACCACCGCTTGGGCCGGTGCTGCTTACAATCTCCTCCAGTATATGCTTGCTAGCCATGTGAGTTTGAGTTGACTAATGAGATACTCACTAACCAACTCACAAGAGTTACATTAAGTCATAGGCTAGTGATATAGTAGATGCTAAGCTTTTTCAATTAGATCCATTGTGTTCATATACTTTCTATCTTTGTTTATGTGTGAGACTACAATTACCTCGTGGCTCGATATATGTTATGTTTTGACATTTTTGTAGTGTTGATTCTAGGTGAGATGTGGTATCTATTAATGTCCTCAATATCTTTGATTGTTTATGGGACTAGATTCAGCTCGAGGCTCGGTTTTATGTTATGTTATTATCATGTTTTGGCATTTTTTGTTGTGTAGATACTAAGTTTGTTGTGGTATACATTGTGTCCTTAATATCTCGGAGGCTTGATTATTATGTTATGTTCTTATATATGTTTTCATATTTTGTTGTGTAGATTCTAGGTTCTGCGTGGTATCTATTGTCGATAGAACGCCAAGCGACGTGTTGGAAAGCAGAATGTCATAAAGAATTAGCGTCTCCACAATGTGTTACGGACTTCTTTGACTGTGGTACATTGCACCGTGACGATCGGAACATCTGGCAGAATACAACTGTTGTCTTCAGCAATTGCGATCCTTCGAATAATATCCAATTCACATTCGGGATTTTCGCGGATGCTCTCACCAAAAACGTGGTTTCCTCGCCTTTCTTGGAGAAATACTTGTATTGTTTGTGGTTTGGACTGCAGAATCTAAGGTATATATACATTCAGCCATTACTGTTCTTTGTCGCTTTACGGGGTTTTTCTTACACTGCTTTCTTGTCAAAGTTCTTATGGACAGAATCTGAGCACAAGTACCTCTGTTCTTGAGACAATGTTTGCTATCCTTGTGGCTATCTTTGGTCTAGTTTTGTTTGCTCTTTTAATCGGAAACATGCAGGTAAAAACGTGAAATCTCCGTTCTTGTTATAGGTAACAAGATAGAATTATTTTGTTGATTTTGTTTTTGTTAATGTATTATAGACGTATTTGCAATCGATCACGGTGAGGCTTGAGGAGTGGAGACTTAAGAGAAGAGACACAGAAGAATGGATGGGACATCGACTACTGCCGCAGAATCTTAGAGAACGAGTGAGGCGTTTCGTGCAGTATAAATGGCTTGCGACTCGAGGAGTTGACGAAGAAACCATTCTTCATTCATTACCCGCAGATCTCCGTAGAGACATCCAACGCCATCTCTGTCTCGATCTTGTTCGTCGTGTAAGTCTATTCACTACTCAGCTCAACAAATTCCAACTGGTTTAACGGTTTTTCAGTTTTTATGCATACCCTTTGGTCTGACTCGTTGTTATTGCACCAATTTTTCAGGTACCGCTATTTGCACAAATGGATGATCAGTTACTAGATGCAATATGTGAACGATTAGCGTCATCTCTAAGCACGCAAGGGAACTACATTGTACGTGAAGGTGATCCAGTGACGGAAATGCTCTTCATCATCCGTGGAAAACTCGAAAGCTCGACGACTAATGGAGGCAGAACTGGTTTCTTCAACTCAATCACACTCAGACCAGGAGATTTCTGTGGAGAAGAGCTTCTAGCATGGGCATTGCTTCCAAAATCAACAGTAAACTTACCATCCTCAACAAGAACGGTGCGAGCGTTAGAAGAAGTTGAAGCCTTTGCTTTACAAGCAGGTGATCTCAAATTTGTGGCTAACCAATTCAGGCGTTTACATAGCAAGAAGCTGCAACACACATTCCGTTATTACTCTCATCAGTGGAGAACTTGGGCTGCTTGTTTTGTACAAGTCGCGTGGAGACGGTATAAGAGAAAGAAGTTGGCTAAGAGTCTTAGCTTGGCTGAGTCATTCTCATCTTATGATGAAGAAGAAGCTGTGGCGGTTGCTGCAACTGAGGAGATGAGTCAAGAAGGAGGAGCACAAAGCGGCGCTAAAGCTCGCCATCATACTTCTAATGTGAAACCGCATTTTGCTGCAACAATACTTGCTTCGAGGTTTGCTAAGAACACAAGGAGGACAGCTCATAAGCTCAAGGATGTCGAAATACCGATGCTGCCTAAACCGGATGAGCCGGATTTCTCAGTGGATGATTGATTGATTTGATTAACCGTTTTGATATAACTTTATGTGAATCTTTTTTTAAGTTAGAAAAATCAGTTTGTTAAAATTCAAAAAAAAACTTTGCTGCTTGAAGTAATTCACAAAAATGTTCAGCAGTTTGTATAAATACAGAATAATCATCTGACTATGTGTATTCGGAGATCATTGGATCAAACAAGATCATCATCAAAGTAGATCAGTTTTGTTTGATCTCATCAAATTTTCACATGATCGTATTAATGCTCATTATTGAGATTCACACATCTTTGGCTCTGAAAAATGCTTAATGTTTCTTCTCTAGTTCTGCCGACACTTTCTCTCCACGTTTGGACACAGATCCATATGAGTTCAAGTCCAGACAAAAACATATTTTTTATTCTTTCTTGTTCTAGTTTTGTCGGATCAGAATCTGGTTTTCTTCTTTAGTTATTAATTTAGAGATCAGAGAATGAAATAGGAAGATAGATGAGTATGTAACAATGTGAAGTTAAACCAGAAAACAAAAAACAGAGGAAGAGCTTTAAAGACAAAAAAGCTGTTTCTTCAGACATTAAGCAACAAGCTCCTGAATTTTGTAGATACTCTATATTATATAGTGGTATAGTTATAAAGTGTGGCTTAAACTCTAACCTACCAAAGATTAATCACAATGGAGAGAAGAAACCAACCAAAATCAAAATCAATAAATGCCTACAAACTATGGCTAACAGGAGAAGTAAACTCACCGAGTTAAGTAAACTCCTAACTGCACGGTACTCATTCATAACCTGGCTAGCGTTCCATGATCGTCTAGCTACGGGTGACAAGCTAAGGTCATGGAATGTGGGTGCTTAAGTCGGTTGTGTTTTCTGCGGAGAAAGCTTGGAGATAAGGAGTCATTTGTTTTTTCTCGTGCCCATACTCTTCTCAAGTTTGGTCGTCCCTCATGAGAGATATCCTTCGCAATCGATACACTATAAACTAGAATTTACTCACGCCACACCTTCTTGACATGTCTCAACCGAACTTCAAATTTTCACTATAAGCCTATAAGGTATGTGTTTCTACTAACGATCCATATCCTTTGGAGAGAACGCAATGGAAGACAACATGGTGAAGGTCCTATATTCCGTGTGCTAAGCTCATCCGACTTATCAACAAAAATATATGTAACCGTTTCAGCACCATTCGTTCATTAGGTAATTCAGACTATGAAGAAGGTCTTCGCTATTGGTTTAGTACCCTAGCCACTAGTGTTGGATAATTTCATTACCTGAAAAGCAAATTATCTCTTTCTAGAAGATGCTAAAAGAGATAGGAAAAAAGGAAATGTACAAATAATGGCAAGTAGGATAAGTTTTGTAAGATTTCCTTTTCATAATAGGATTAGGAGAAGCTAAGTTCTATTATAAATAAGAGCCTTATGGAGAGATATTAAGAGAGTTTAGAGGCTTTGGAGAGTTGTTCTATAAGACCTAGAGAGAGACCTAGAGAGAGACCTTGAGAGAAATTTAGTTTTGAGACGTTTCTAAATCAATAAAGAAAAGTCGTTCTTTAGTCTTTCAAGTTCTAGTTAAATCGTTGAATTACTTCTTGAATCATTCAGCGACTTCATCAAAATAAGGTGATCTTGATTTGAACTAGACCACATTCATAATTGTAATCCTCTGTTTTTGGACCATTCTCTTTTTGAAAACTCAACAGTAAAAGTTGCATTTATTGTAAAAATGTTTTTAATTTTAAGAATTAATTTTACATTCATTCAAAAAAAAAAAAACTCCTAACTTCTGCAGAGTAATTAAAATAATTCATTTTTAATCTTAGTAAATTATGGTTCGAACTAGGTCATCTTCTTTGCCATGGGCCGACTCGCGCTGACTTCGCCTTCTGATGAAGATGAAGATAAAGATGAAAGGAGTAAATACACCCTCAAATAAGCAGTCCAACTAATTTAAATAAATTAACTTGTTCCATGGAAGATTTTGCATTTTCTTTTTGATATCCGAAGAAGGTTAGTACATATCCGAAGAAGGTTAGTACATATTTGAAAAAGTAGTAACAGCCCAAAGAACAACTAAAGATGCGAAATAGTGTTCGTAGTTCGAAGTCTTTATTTTTTAAAACAATAACAAACTTGATTGCAAATCATCATCACCAGAGTCAAATTGCAACTTACTTAAGAAAGAATGCTATAATAACTAACATTAGCAGCTTACATAATTGCTTAAGTATATGATAATGGAAATGAAAATAATAATAAATGAACGTTTATATGAAAATTTCTCATCCAAATAGCACCTGCGCGCATATTTAAAACAAATTATACTAAAATTAGGACTATTACTATGATAACCAATATATTTAAGGATACACTTAAAGAGTAATTCATGTCTCCTCTTAAAGGTTCTGAAAACAACATTCATTGTATTCTTCCACTTTTAAAGTCTTTGTTGTTGTTTTTAGCTTTTTTGCTTTTGATAAATTTATATATATATTTTAAAAAAAGAATAAAAACTCTGGTTTCCCATAAACTCTGGGCATTATTAAGAATTCAACATACTTAAATACATCATTTATTATTTTATTTTTTTTAAAACGGCATTACCGACCACTAAGGGTCGAGTTGGTTACATCGGGCACCGTCCAATTTTCTTCGTTTTGCTGTTTTGAAGATGAGGAACCAATCTCAAAACGACTTCTACTGAAGAGAGAACCAGGCCGTTCAGGCTGATTCATCTCTGTTTTCTCGCTTGTAAGCATCAAAATCACAGACGACATTGCCGGTCTATCCTCTGCAGAATCTTGAACACACAAGAGTCCAATTTGAATGCATCTTAGAACCTCATGTGGTCGAAATGTTGACGATGAATCAACGATTACCGGATCTACGATCTCGAGCCCTTTTCCTTCCTTCCAGTGCCTCCATATCTGTTCATAAATACAAAGCTGTTAAGCGTTGATCAATCAGACAACAAAAAGAAAGAATAGAATTTGATATGTCAAACTCACATAGCTAAGAAGGGTTTCCTCGTTCAAGTAAAACTCTGCGTTTCTCTTTCCAGAGATAACCTCAAGAACCAAGACTCCGAAACTGAAGACATCAGACTTTACAGAATATTTCCTGTCTATCACGTATTCCGGAGCCATGTAGCCGCTGCATAGCGAAACAGTAAACACATTTTTGTGACACTTTAGCAGAATTATTCTATTTCCAAAACTGAAAATGTTGGCGGTGTTTTAAATGCTTACAAAGTTCCGATCATCTTCGTTATACTAGCTTCTGTCTCATCTCTTTTAAAGAGCTTGGCCATCCCGAAATCCGAGATCTTTGGGACCATATCTTTGTCAAGCAAGATGTTGCTCGGCTTCAAATCCCTGTGTAGGATCCGATACCGAGAATCTTGGTGAAGATATAAAAGTCCCCGAGCAATACCATTGGTAATATCGAGTCTCTTCTCCCAATCTAGCTTAGAGCTTTGGGTTTTGTCTAGGCAACCAAATCAATTTAAATTTTATTTCCAAATAATAAGCATTCATATTTAATAAGCATTCATAAAGCTAGCTTGTAAAAACAAGTGAGGCACTAACCGAAAATATAAGTATCGAGACTTGAGTTTTCCAGGTATTCAAAGAGTAGTATCATTTCACCTCCCTCAAAGCAATATCCAACTAGTTTGACGAGGTTGATATGCTGAACGCTCGCGATCAGTTTCACCTCGGTGATGAATCCTTCGATCCCTTGAGCTGACCTCTTCAACAGCCTTTTAGCAGCGATTGCTTGCCCGTCAAGTAAAATACCCTGTTACCACGTACGTGTTTAATAAGTTACACGGAATCTAGCCCAATGACAGATTTTGTATATATATAATATATTTTAGAGTGTTTTGTAGTTTATACCTTGTACACAATACCGAAACCACCTTGTCCTATCTTGTTACAATCAGAAAACTTTTCTGTGGCATTGACAATATGTTCAAGCTCCATGGGTGCACATTGTAAACCCCCTATATGAATATGATGATCTTTTTAAAACTATTTTTCGATTCAAACAGAAGAAAAGAAGATAAAAATAAAAGAAACATCATAAGAATACCAATAGGTAGTGGTGCAATTACTCTTGTTGGCATCCTCTTCTTTCTTTTCCAAATGCAGAACAATATGAAAATGACACCCAGAAGAAGCACAATGCCGACTCCAACAATCAAGATAATGACTTTTGAACTCAATTTTCTTTTATTTTTCTTTACCTGTGCTGTCGCTAAAAACACAAGTAAAAGAACAGTTTTTAAATTTATATCACAAGTTACGATAGTCAGTTTTCCAATGATAATGTTCTACATTCTTTTTTCAAATCATCAAGAAACCATAAGAACTCATATGAAAAAAAAAAACAGAGATAAATTTTGCTTACAGATATCAGTGGCTGCCAATCTGACAAAAAGATCTTGACCAGCAATCGCGTTCTTCCGGAGATCGAGGATTTCTTCCACCCAAATCACACAACCTGATCCACCGTTTTGCATGTCCGTGTTAGCATACGCAGTGCAATTACAATTCCCAATGCACTTGCCATGGCATTCCTCCAACCCAATACTCCTGTCCACAATAGACTTTGTAATATCAGGCAACTTCATTGTCCTGAGCTGCTCAAACCCATCCCTAGAGCAGTTCAACCCATGGATGCAAACACAGTTTGGTGATGTGTTTGTGTCACACAGACCATAAGCTCCACATTTATTGTATAAACCGCATGTATCACGTGGTAAAAGACTATCCAATCGTTTCCACATTTGTTGTGGTTTTGGAATCCACGTAGACCTCTTCAACACGCCGCTATAAGACATTCTCAATATTGAGAAGAAGGATTCATTGGTGATACTGAAGAAATAGGTGGCCTCCTCTTTGGTCACGGTAATGCGGTATGTCGTGTAGGTTAAATTTCCACTTTCATATTCTACGTCATTTTTTGTCTTCCATGGGTCACTCCGGAATGTTGGCACACCTTTCTTCCGAATGAAACTTTGCGCGAGCTCATGACGTTCAACTCCGTATGTGTATTCCCCGGGAGAAGGATCACTAAGGCTTCTCCAAGATTTCAAAACTCTGTTTATGTTTGATTTGGCATCCCAGCCAAATTTCATACCGGAGACTAAAACATCTGTCGGAAAATCAAAGCTCTGCCACAAAACTCCGTCGTTGTTGATGTATCTCAATACAAAGTTTCCGCTGTCGAGAAGCTCTCCAGTCACTAGCGATTTCATGAGATTTGTGCTGGTCACATTGGTCCACCAGACACGGGTACCGTGTTGATCAAGGAGGACGAGGTTGTTATCCAAGTGGGCTGTCTCTATTCGCAACCCATACCACTTCCTGAGGAAACCTATGGTGCCATACGCCGAGATACCAATGCAAAGTTGAGGACGGTTTAAAAATACCAAGCACAAACACTTTAGCCGGGGACAAGATGTTTCTTCGAGTAGATATCTTAAACGGCTCTGTCGATAAAAGTTTCGATTCATATTTAGAAGAAAGCTGAAGAACTAAGACGAAGAGAAAAAGTACCCTCATCTCTCTTTCAATTCATAATTTTTTTGTTAAGACGAAGAGAAAAGTTTCGATTCATATTTCACATGTTATACTCTGTAGACTGTAGACTAAAGTTCAGTCGACAATCAAATTTGAATTTCCACATTGCTTGACTTTTCAACTTGCATGAGTAAATTAATTTCAACATATATAAATGATACTCCGTAAAACTACATGTGAAATTAATTTCTCCGGGGCAGAACATAGCATATGATCCCAAAATATTCATGACCCGTACGTGTCCAGATTCATATGCTATGTTTATTAAACCTACTTTCATTGTTTCATCTACATCTCTTCCATAATAAATTACTTTTCATCAATGCATTGATTTCTTCCAAAAAAGTTATTTACCAGACTTTCATTAACATACAAAAAAAAACCTCATTGAAATTAATTACCTATTTTCACTTATACTATGTCAAATGCTTGAAATATATATATATATATATATATATTTATATATTTTATTATCTTGGCTTCACTTGTTAGAACTTGCTACCATATCAGTTGAAAGCAATGTATGTGTATTAATTCTTTTTTTTTTGTTTGTCAAAGGTATGTGTATTAATTCTATTGTTGTATATTAATACATCAATTAGTTTTATATATATGCCCTAAGAAATAAAAGATTTGAGTTTTCATGTACTAACCGGACTGCTTGCGTTCTTCTTGGTCTTCCGATGGAGAAAAATTTATTTGCTTCTTTAGTTATTAATTTATAGATCAGAGAATGAAATAGGAAGCATGTGATCATGTATTTGCTTGCCATGAAGTTAAATCAGAAACCAAAAAACAGAGGAAGAGCTTTTAAGACAGACACTAAGCAACAAGTTCCTGACTTTTGTAGTAGATACTCTATATATTGCCATATTGGTATAGTTATAAAATGTGGCTTAAACTCTATCCTACTACCAAGGATTAATCACAATGGAGAGAAGATACCAAGCAAAAGTAAAATCAATAAATGCCTACAAACTATGGCTACAACAAAAGGTAATAGGAGAAGTAAACTCACTGAGTTAAGTAAACTCCTAACTACTGCAGAGTAACCAAAAATAATTCATTTTGAACCTAAGTAAATTATACTACGTTTTAATTAAAATGATTTAAATACTTCTTACTTTATCAGGAATACAAAATGGATATGCTGAAAAAGTGACAACTTATTGTGAGAAAATACGAAGCAAGACCGCACCACATGACATTTGTAAGAAAAAAAATGGCAATGCGGTGTGCAAAGAGACGTGTTTTACAAGAGAAAGTTATAATAATGGAAGATGTCTAATACTTCCAAAGACGACAAAATTAGATTGCTACTGCTACCATTTCGACGATGGATCACCATGCTGAGTCTAAAACCCATAAGCCATGCAATAAATTAATATTTATAACTATTGTGTGTCTTTTTTTTTTAAGAAATCTTTTGCGTTTTCTTATATACATGTAATAAACTAGATATTAACCTACGGTACACCGTGGGTCTAAATTTTTACTAAATAAAAAAATTATTTTTTAAAAAATTACTAAATAAATATTGTACACCGCATGACGATATTTTATAACTAAAAACTCAAAATTTTAACTTGTATTTATTTTGTTTAGTGTTTAAGATTCTATAAGCGTATTTTGATTGTTAATTCTAAGATTTCACCGTAGTATACTATTTCTTATTAATATCGACCTAAATCCGTCCCACCATATAATTCCGTCCCGTGAAATTAAACATCATTTTGTATTTTTTTTTTATAAAGTTCAAATATTTATAACATTTGAAACTTCATAAAAGTTTTAATATCGACCCAAACTTCATAACCATATTTTGATTGTTATATCTAGGATTTTACCCGTTGTATACCGTCTCGTATTAATATCTTTTATGAATTTTTATAATGTTTAAACTTCTTGTAAATTCTTATAAAATTAAAATATTTATAATATTTGAAACTTCATAAAAGTTTTGATATTATTAATATGTAAAACGTTTAATAAAGTTAGAATTTTTTAAAAGTTTAAATAATTATAATATTAAATTTTAATAAAGATTAAAAATTTATTATATTTTGAAACTTTATAAAAGTTTCAATTCTTTACAATAAATAACCGGAGTAAAACGGATAGCACTTTTAATTTTGGACACATGATAAATCAAGCTTCGTCCTCATTCGTATCCAGAATCATTTTAATCATTGTTATAGTATGACTCTGAACCATTGCCCAATTTTTTAAGCAATGTGGGACATTGTACACCTATTTAATTTTTTGCTTCATCGACACTTTTTAATTGTTAATTTTAGGATTTCACCCGTGTTATACCATTTCGTTTTAATATCGACCCAAACCCGTCCCACCATATAACCTCATCCCGTGAAATTAAACATTATTTTGTTATTTTTTTAATAATAATTTTATTTAAACATTTCCTAAAGTATTATTTGGCTTTTATATGACTAAGTATTTATACGAATAAGATACATGTTATTAAATTACTATCTTAAAGTTCAAAATTAAGTAAGTTTTATTATTGGGATAAAAATTATATTTATTACTTATATAATTTATTATTTAATCTGAAAATACTAAAGTTTTCTTTATTATATAATTGTTTGATACTGCTATATAGTGTTATATATGTGTGTTATGAATGTGTTAAAATAAAAAGAAGAGACAAACTTTAGGAAGACAAATTAAATTACTCTAATTGTCTACAAAATAGTCAAATAATGTCTCATGCTTTACTTAAGAAAACAGAAAAACAAAACTCTGAAAAAGAAAAAAACAAATTTACGTTGAATCATTCCAATTATTGAACGAATTTTAAGGACGTGTCTTTATGTATTGGGCCTTATTAGGCTTCACTTTTCTGTACTTTGTACTTTGGACTTTTATTTAAAAGTTTGACGAAAAAACAGAAAATGTTGCATCAGAAAATAAAACAAAAAATCCCTTTTGAGAATCTTCTCGTCTTCTTCAACCTTTCTTATACGTTTCTGATTTTGGAGTTTTTTTTATATAATCAACCTACTTGCATGTGGATTAATCGATTGATTAAAGGGGATGAGTATCTAATTTGCATCGGATCGAAAGTGAGAAGACACACAAACCATCATTCTAAATCTACTGTAGTTCTCGATGATCTTCTTCGTCGTGGCCAAGAGATTGAGTTCATGTCTCATGTTCATCCAATATCCATATTCCTCGATTTTCTGTAAGAAATAGACTAGATTAAGGAATAGATTTATTACTGAGTAGAATCTTTTTTAAAAAATTGTTTTTTTTGTTTTACTGAGTTTTGTGTGTTATGAATTGAAATAGAGAATCCGTTAAAGTAAAATGGTGCATTCACGATATAGAAAATAGTAGGTTTGTGTGTTTGATGATATGAGAAACGCAATTGCATAGAGTATTTATAGTGGACTAAGGTAGGTTAAAAAAATCTTGGTGGCTATTTGATACCATAACAAAATTGGAATAAAATCTATGTCATCGTTTTTATTTAGGAATATCCAACGTTTCGTTTCTATAGAATCGGTTTTATGAATATTAGGAGGATGAAATATTAAATATGAAGTGTTTGCACATAAATATTTACTATGTATATACTAAATCGTAACCAAAATATCTTTCTAGGTAAGGAAAGATAGTTATTTTAAATTAAATTGTTGAGATTTGATTAAATAATCGAGATTTTAATAATAATAATAATTAATACAAACAATATATCATTAAAATCTTACCCAAACAAAACGATGCAGATAAGGAAACATTAAAATTAAGCGAGATTTTAGGACATAAATCGTTTCCCTTGAGAACTAAATTAATGTCGTTTTTTTAAAAATTTCCATAAAATATTTATCCAAGATCCGAATATAATTAAACCGGGTAAAACCCGGATCCAAATGATTAAAAGCAAAAAAAAACCCTGCAAAAATATATATGTAGATTTATAGTTGATGAAATAATCGAAAAACATTGGTCGTTCTTATAATTAGGACATAAAGGCTTTGTGGTTTTTAACTTTTCTTTTGAGAAATTAATATATAACTTTGATGATTTATAAATCGGCGACCATAATCTATTCAAGACCTTACCAATATGTGGTGTCTTTGCGGCTTTGCCTATAAAATAACTATGTAGTTCTATTGGGAATCAGAATGTTTAGGGCTATTGTTTTTTAAAGATGGCTAAACTCCAAAAGGTTTCACTTTTTTGATGAAGCTGTGGTGGCAAGGCGACGGTTCGATGATGGTGGCGTCTTGTGGTTCATAAATTTGATGACGGCAAGATTAGGAGAAGCTTCCATATAAATCATGTGATTTTTTCTATAAGAAAAAAGTTTGTTTTGATTAAGATCTAATCAATTAAACAAAAAAAAAGGCGATGTGCGACTCTAGCGCCGCTAGGATTTTGGATTCGAGAAATCACGATGAAGACATGGAGGATGAGGGACAGCCGCCAGGGAGCATTCCAGTTGGGTCGATGGTGTAGGTGGAGAAGGTTAGGGGTAGTTCTCGTGGCGGTGTTCCGGTTGTGAAGACGATGTTGGCGGATGATTTTGTAGCGGCGCAGATAAGAGTGGATTTTCCCGGTGGGAAAGAAGGAGACGTGTTGGTGACGATTGGGCAGGAGGTCTTGGAGGAGATGAATGGGCTCTACCGACAGTGTATGATGTTGAAGGTTTTGGCCGCCACATCAACATAGCGACGCTGAATCGTCGGCTTAGAGATCTATGGAAGCCAAGGGGAGGGATGGTAGTGATGTATCTGCCAAGGTAGTTCTTCATGGTTAGGTTTTGATCTGGAGGAGGATTACTTAGCAGGCTGTGACCGGCAAACCATGGCTGAGTGTTGGGAACCATCCTGATGGTGAAGGCTTGATCTCCCGATTTCGATCCTTTGCGGGACGAAATTGTTACCACACCGGTGTGGGTACGAATCTCACATCTGCTTGTGAATGTTTACCACTGTGTGATCTTGATGGGGATAGCGGAGGGGCTGGGTCCGCTGGAAAACCGATTAAGGTCGATTTGACGACATTGAAGATAGAGAGACCGAGGTTTGCTCGTGTGTGCATCGAAGTCAACATGAAGAAGCCGTTAAAGGTATCGATAATGGTAAATGGAAAGAGGTATTATGTGGCTTAAAAAGGATTGACCAATATTTGCTCAATGTGTGGTGTGTTTGGACATGCGGTGGAGGTTTTTCCAAAACAAGCTGCGAGCCAGTTGGTAAAGGGGAATATGCAGGACAATGTTGAGCGACCAGTCTTAGGAAGCCAGAATACAGATGGGTTTACAGAAGTGAGGAGAAGAGGGAGACATGCTCCAGAACAAGGGGAAAGAGTTGTCTTTCAGGCGAAAAAACACCGGTGAAGAGGCTATGAGGCAGAGTCCAGTAAGACTAAGTGGTGAGAAGCAAACCGCAATGGTGATCTCTAATAGCTTTAGTGGCTTAGAGGGAGAGGTTGAGGCTCAAGAGCTGAACTTTCCGGGTGGGAATGTTGCAAGAGAAGAGAATAAGGAGAATGAGGATATTCTGAACATCTCCATGCAAGGTAGGGTAGGGGGGGGGGAGCAGTAATACAACTTTAAGGAATGCGAGGAAAGGATATCCGAAGAAGATTGGGATCCGAATGGGGGAGTTGGAGAGCAGGATTGGTGGGAGTAAGACATGGAAGAATGTTGGTAACAAAAGTAAGAATTTGAAGGGAACTGTTTCTGCTAGAGGTCTAGTTTTTGGTCCTATAAGAGGTGAAGCAGGAGTTCTCTCTTCTGGGAAAACTTATAGTAGAACATGAGAATGTGGGCAGAGCAAGAGGTGCTTATAAGTTTTCGGGTACAGGTGAGATTGGGGAGATAAGACAGGTGCAGACCCGTGAAGTAGAGGGGGAGCTGGTTGGTGGTCTCCCTCAAATGATGGTACATCTATGGATCTGGTTCCCCAAGCGAGACAACCAGACCATGTTGTGGATGTGGGCAAATAACAATTTGCCTCGGTATTTCTAATCAGTTATACAAAGTATTCATGAATTGCATGTTATGGAATTGCTGGGGACCAATAAACCCAATTTTCGACGTTCAATACGGTATATGCTGAAGAAATTTGACACGGATATGCTACCTTTGTTTGAAACTCATGTTGAAGAGGAAAGAGCAGGGAGAATTTGTCAAAGACTGGGCATTGAAAATTTATTTTGTGTAGATGCCACATGGCAGAGCGGCGGGCTGTGGCTGCTATGGAAGTCTAGTTTTGGGTCATGTTGAAATTGTGGTATCAACTTGTCAATTTATACATGCAAGAGTGGGTAATGGAAGTGAGGCTGTGAACCTGGTAGTAGTGTACGCGTCACCATCAGTTAGCAGAAGGAGTGGATGATTATGGGCAGAGCTTAGAGATGTAGTTTGTGGTTTGGTGGCGACTTTAATATGTTTTTAAGAGTTGATGAGAGGACGGCGGGGGAGGGGGGGGAATGGTAGGTTTCCCCGGACTCGTTACCTTTTGGAGAATGGATTAATGATCTCTAGCTGATTGACTTGGGTTTCAAGGGCAGTCGGTGTACTTGGAAGAGGGATAGGGTAAAAAGTACATATGTGGCAAAGCGGTTGGACCGAGTCCTCTGTTGTGCTCAGGCGAGGTTGAAGTGGCAAGAGGCAGTTGTGTCTCACCTCCCCTTCCTGTCTTCAGTTCATGCCCCGTTCTATGTCCAGTTGTGTCCTCCATAGAAGATGGATCCTCGAAGAAGACCCTTTCGTTTTGAGGCGTCCTAGTTAAACCATGAAGGGTTTAAGGAGTTGTTGACAGCTTCATGGGACTCTAATCTGTCTACACCTGCAGTGTTGAACGGGTTAAAGTGGCGGTTAAGAAAACAGAATAAGGAGGAATTTGGGGATATCCAAAGACGAAAGGAGAGTTTGGTGAATGAGATAAAAGCAGTCCATGATCTGTTGGAAGTGGCTCAGTATGTTGATCTACTAGCTAAGGAGGAACAATTATTAAAGAGCTTTGATATAATTCTGGAACAGGAGGAAACACTTTGGTTTCAAAAGTTTAGGGAAATGTTTCTTGAGTTAGGGGATCGAAATACGACTTACTTTCACACATCTACGATTATTCGCAAGAGGAGGAATAAAATCGAGATGTTGAAAGATGGAGATGATAGGTGGGATTCGGATAAGGTTGTTTTGGAGAAAATGGTGCTGGATTACTATAGCAGGCTGTACTCTTTGGAGGATGTAAGTGAGGTATGGGGCAGCCTGCCAATAGGGGGTTTGAAGCTTTAATAGTTGCTGAACAGAATGGTCTGATGAAACTGGTTACGGGAGGCGAAGTGGAGGTGGCTGTTCGGAGTATGGGGAAATATAAAGCTCTAGGACCGGATGTAGTTCTATTGGGAATGAGAATGTTGAGAAATTTAGGGCGATTTTTTTTTAGGACGGCTAAAACTCCAGAAGGTTTCACTCTCTTGGTGAAGCTGTGGTGGCAAGGCGACGGTTCGGTGACGGTGGCGTCTTCTTGTTCATAGAGATGATGAAGACAAGATTAGGAGAAGCTTCCTTATAAGTTGCTTCCAGGTGACCCTCGTCCGAGCCCTCTTTTTGTTGATATTTTCAAAGTTTTTTGGCAATTGCGGCGGTAGATTTCGGCGGCAATGGGTGTTTTAATCAGCAGAGACTCACGAATAAGGCCGCTTGCCTTGAGGAAGTAGGCGGTTCTTGAAAGGAGCCCTCCGGTGGTGACTAAATGGCAACAAATCAGTTACCTTTTTAGCCACTACCAAAAAGCCGTGGCTAGACAATGGCAGATTTGCTGTTTTCTTGTAGGCGATATTCCACGGCGACAAAGGAAACTTATTTTTTGGGTTTCTCTTTGGCTCGGTTCTCTCCTCCTTTCTATAATTTCTCTTTGTTTTCTTGGTGTTTACCTCGGTGGTTTGGTGGTTGCTGTCGGCGGAGAAGGTGTTAGGAGCGGTGATGAGAGTTTATGGAGCTTGAACAACCAGAGTCTCATTAGTCAGGCCGATTATTTTGAGGCCGCAAGTGGTTCTTAACAAGAGGTCTCCGATGGCGGCTGATCAATGGTTTTCTGGTTTACCTTCGGATCGGCTCTATATCTTCTCCAAGTATTTTAACTTTTCCTAGGCGATCTGTCCAGCGGTGATGTGAAGGAGGCATTCGATTTTCATCTCCCGGTGGTGACTTTCATGTATTGTTTCCAGTTCATGTGTCTCTGGTAGTCGAATCTTTGAAGTTGGAGGCTGTGGCGAACCTGTTCTTCGATATGGGGACCACACCAAAAAAAATAATGAAATTTTCATGTTTAGTGTGAAAATGAGTTTTGTTTTCATCATTTGGTAAAGTCATTTGGGAAAAATGTCGGAAAATGCGCGAACTTTCAAATTTGGGACAAAAAAAGCATGAACTTTCGAAATGTCATTTAAATCATAAAGTTTAGTTTGACTTTTGATTAAATGGTTAAGTTTTCGTTGACCTGGCAATTTCGGACATGTCGTTAAATTTCCGTTAACGAGACGATGACGGGGTTAACTTTCCGTTATAAATGTACGTTGAATCGAAACGACGGAAAGTTCGATTCTTCACAGACGCAGTTAATTCATTTTATTTTCCACTGAAATGACGTCGTTTTGTTGTTTTTAAACCGACGTCGTTTCGATTCAACGGAGATTTCTAACGGAAAGTTAACTCCGTCAACGTCTCGTTAACGGAAATTTAACGACATGCCCGAAATGGCCAAGTCAACGAAAACTTAACCATTTTATAAAAAGTCAAACTAAACTTTATGATTTAAATGACATTTCGAAAGTTCATGATTTTTTTGTCCCAAATTTGAAAGTTCGCGCATTTTCCGACATTTTTCCCAAAGTCATTTGGTCTTCTTATAAAATAGCCAATTAGACTAAATCAGACCAAAATGCCCTTAAATACAATTGTTCTCGTTCACTTACATTATTTTTTTCACCAATTCAGTTGTGTTTTCTCTTCAATTATTTTGTCTCATTATAACTGATTAAAAAAATTATTGAGAAAAACAGAATAAGGAGAGAAAAAAATTAAAAATCTCAACTTTTTCACAGAGAATTTTTGAAAACAATTTATGTAGTAACCATTTTCGAAACATCTGAAAAATCTCTCATTCATCTTCGATTGAGAGTTTTAAAATCGAGTAGCAACAGATTTCATATCTTCGGCGATGAGCAAAAAATAAAAAATTTCCAGAGAAAAAGATTTTGGAGTTGAGAAGTCCGGCACGAAGAGGAATTTTGTATCTCGGAATCTCGAATTTCATCTATCCGACCCGAATCTTGGTAAAGAAGTATACTCGGTTAGAAAAAATTAAAGGCGAAATAAGAGATGAATATCGAGTCGCCGATTTGCATTTCTTGAACATCGTTGGCGAGCAAAAACAAAAGATACGGTTACAGAAGAGGATACTCAGGTTGAAGATGACTGCAAAATTACAATCATGTCTTTATTTGATTTTTTTATGTGTACGTGTACGCAATTTACGGTGTACGCGTTATTGGTTAAGTGGACGTGTACGTCTGTTAGATTATGTACTATTGTTGAGACGATGTACACAATATTTAGAGAGTTTGTATATTAGAAACTTTTGGTTAATTTGATTAACATTTCACAACATACCGTACAAGGACTCGAAATGAGGGGATTTTGTTGTTGTATGATCTAAAATTTTGTTAGTTGGATTGTTTTCTTTGGACCATTACCCTCCACAAAGATTTTTTGTTTTGATTAACTTTTCACAACATATTCAGTTCTTTGACTAGCGTTTCACAATATACCTTGAAGGAATTCGAAGTATGGAATGTTACACCATTTTCGGTCCTTTTAAGAATCTCTGCAACGTTTGGTATCTATGGTGGTGCACACGGCGAGGTACCCAAATGCTATATATTTAATATGATATATCCTTTACGATATTTCTGTTTTGATGTTGTTCTTTCTATGTAATTATTATTTAAAATTTTTTTAATGAACGTTATGTTACACTATATTATTGATGTAGAATAGATAAGATTCTAAACTGAACCCATATACGTACACGATAATATTGAGATACACTGATATGTCTATATTTTACTTGTTTTGAGCATTCATTTGTCGTCACTTTAGCATCATTTCACCACTCTTTCATACCATTTCTCATGACTTGTCATTACTTTACATGTTTAGGATAGTTTTGCATGCATATTGCATATTTGTGTTATTTTCAGGTGATTTGGAGCTGTTGGTGAGCAAATGGGAGGAAGTGGACCGGAACCAATCAGTATACTCGACCACGAGGTCGAGTACCATCATCCTGGCCACTGAAGCTGATGCTCGACCACAACACTGAAGCAGATGCTCGACCACAACCTGCCATCAACACTTGATCGCATCCTCTGTCATCATACTCGACCGTGTGGTCGAGCAACCCGGCGTCCTTATGTATCTAGATCACTCGATCAACCACTCGATCGTGTCAGTCGAGCACTCCCAGCAAGCTTCCCTCAGATCACTCGACCAGACACTCGATCACCACCTCCACGCAGCCACTTGATCACAAGCTTCAGAGTCTTCTCAGATCCCAACTCAACCAGACATTGAGCATAAGGAAGAGAAGAGGATGAAGCAGAACGCGAGCACATACTCGACCCGAGTGCTCGATCACAACATGCCCAGAGCAAGAAATCGCAAAGGCGCCAACTTTATTCAAACCCCTCTACTCGATCACAAGGGTCGAGTGTTTCCGTAAACCGCCTTAATACGTTGTCGTCTTGTGATTTAGGGTTTCCTAGTATTTGCTATAAATAGGTTGTTTCTCATAATTTTCAGACTGAGTTTTATTCTGCAGAACAATTAGTGCTTTCTTCATATTTGTAATTCAGATTTCTCTTAATCTATTGAGTATTTGCTTTTGATTTCTTCTACAAAGTTGTTCATCTTGTTGAGATCTTGCTAATATGAAGTTTTTATGCATTTCTGGGTTTGTGTTCTTGGTTATGAATTTTGAGTAGTGATTAGGGTTCTTGAGGATGGGTTAGAGTAGCTTAGAATCCTTGATCTGCTAGGTGGTTGAGTTTGATTGGTAGATCCCTTCTGGATTAGTTGTTCTTAATGCTAATTTCTTTCTGATCAACTGGAATTTGAGCCCAGACATTTCCGCACCCACAAGGTGTTCGATGAAATGTCTGAACCACTAATTCCAGAGATTTGTGGCTCTGTACCAAGGTATTGGTTACAGGGAGCGTTTTGGCTTAGACTTGTTGATTCGTAATGCCTGTTAGGTTAGCTCTCGTCAATGGTGATTGAGTCTGGGACTAGCTTTGCTTGAGGATCTCTGTTGCGGTAGCACTTTGATTTGGTTATTGAACTTGTTGTCTAGGGATAGTTTGTTGAGCATGATCAACCACCTGTTAGATTAAGGAGACTTCACTACTCGATTACCCCATCCTCGGGAATTTCTCTTCCAATTGATTTCTTTGTTTACATCGCTTTTGATTGCTTGATCTTGTTACTTGTTGCTCAGTTTTATCAATTCTACCCTGTTTTATTTGAAGTACTCGACCACACCCAGTAGTTTGGTAACAAACTGTGCAGTCGAGTACCCTGTTTACAGTTTCTGTTAAGTTACTCGACCAGATACTCGACCACACCCAGTGCTTGGTGTCAAGCTGTGTTAGTCGAGTATATTGCCTGATATTGTTAGAATTTCTGTTATCTGCATGATCACTAGAGCTGTTAACAACACTAAAACCTGCTATTGCTTGGCTTGACTCTGTGATATCTGATTGCATCTTGATTGCTAGCATCACACCCATTTGGATTGACACATTAACATACTACAATGACATGATAGTACTTTAAGGATAATTGATCTTAGTTAAAATCTTACTATCATACACGAACACAATAATTTTGATTTTTTTTTTCGATCTAAAATAATTTACATCTTCGAGTTTTATAATTGTAATTTGGGTATTGGGATATTAAATATCTAAATATAATTGATATGTTGGGTATATACCTATATTTCAGGTATCCATTCGATTCTCGGTTCGGTTCGGATTAGGTTCTGATTCTTTGACTATGAATCCGGTTACTCGGATATAAAAATTTAATAGCGTTCGGATATTATATTTTGTTAGTTATGGGTTTGGTTCTTATTCTTCGAATAGGTTCGATTCGTCTTCAGATCTAGTTCGTACATAGTTTGAGTGTTTTATTTTTGTGTTCAAAAAAATATTTTGTACACATATGCACTTAAATCATTACCGTATACGATACACATGCCTACATGATATATATTCTTAATCTCGAATGGTCTTCAACGACATAATTAAAATTAAGAAATCAATTATTCGATTCTCGGTTTGGTCGGAAACTGCAAATCCACAAAGGGGATATCTATTGCGGTTGTTGACGCCAACGCCGTCATCAAAGAAGGCCAGAGCTTAACCAACTTCGCCGACGATTTCGTAACCGTCCCTCAAGTACTCTCCTCAGTTTCATGGGACGAAACATCTAAAAGATGTTCCTCCGCCGATTCAAACTGTAAGGTTAAAGAGATTAACTCATGGAATAACTCATAAGCGACATGCCTCTCTGTTTAAGGATGTCCTCACTCTGATCTCTGCTCCAAACTTCAGCCGCACGCATCAATAATATATCTTGTGGTATGT